CAACATTTTTCAATGAACTTTTCTGGATGACATTGATGACACCTGATTGAGTGGTAATGGTGTTTAACTGTTGCTGGAGAAGATAAGGAATCATTCTTGCACTTACTTTTGCAAGTGATGAGAAAAGCTATTGATCTAAGCGAATCTGATAAACAGGGTTCGTACACATTTCTGCACATGGAAATTAAGTACTTTTAAGGACTATTAAGGAAAAAAATTAAGGACCTACGAACAAATGGGAATTGAATAAATCCGATTAAAAATATTACCTATGCCTGAAATCCAATTAAAAATATTACCTATGCCTGAATTTCACTTTTGTAATATCATCCTAAAAATAAAATAGATCCCTAAGTAGGATGCATTATTATTAAACATGAATTAATTAACATAATTATTAATATATTTGATAATAAAATAAATTTTATGCAATTTATCAAGTAGCATTAAATATTTTACACTTATAATAGCTGGACAAATTTGAAAGAAGATAAGTGACATTTACAATTTACTAACAGTTAGCTTTATGCTGATTTTTTTAGGTCTCATTTTGTCACATACTTGCTCAGTCTAGAGGTTTAGCAAATATCAGATAGATTTTGTGTCAAATGGCAAATGAGAAGTAGGATCATAATCAGCATAATTCATAACAAAAGACTGAATGTTGTCACTGCTGCTGCTTGTTTTTTAGACCAGCTGATTAGAACAAACCTGAAAGGCCTGATGTAGGCATGGTTTGCCAGTTTTGAAAGTTAGTCAGGCTCTGTTTGATGCAGTTAATGTCGTAGCTTCGTGTAGAGTTCCAGGGGTTGTAACCCAGTTAATACACTTTAAGGTTCCAATTAGCCACTAAAGCACCAGAGGTGATAAGGTCTTTTGTATTATTTTAAGTCTCACTAGATGCAAAGAATAAATTTTACATGAATTTTTAGTTTTGTGTTTTATCTTGTGACCACAGTAAGGATTAATGAAAGGTAGTAAAGTCGCTTTAATACGCAGAGATAATTTTTTAAGGGTAAGCAGTTAGTTATAAATAACTGAATTAGGTAGTTAGATAACCTTACTCATTGTGGATTTACATGGTTACTTTTAAATTTTATTTATTTTTTAACAATATTTGTTTAAAAAGCCCAAATCCTGATCTAATAAAATTTCACAGTTTAAAATACATGTAATTTACGATATTGATTCTTAAACGATATTAGAATAAGTACACATTAAAAGCTATGAAACATTTATGTTTTGTAACAATAACACTCAACAAAATATTTATGCATCATTTTATTTTGAAGCCTTCCCAGACATTTTGGCTAATTTTGTATCGATAACCTTCTCTTTAAGCATCTTTCCTAACAATTTCAGAAATTTGTCTCCATAAGCAAACCAATATTCTCACTAGTTTTTACATGCTTTATCTGCTAACTTGTCAACCTCTTCACAATGTATCTATGAAGGTTTACTTGATTTGGCAAAAGTTAAATAGTCCAAAACCCCCAATAGATGTGAAGCAAATTATCGCTACATCTGAAAGTAACTACAAAATCAGACATAATTTTAAATAAGCCTCTTATTTAAAAAGAACTTAAAACATAAAGGCATGCTCTCAAGCTAACAAAATCAAGTACACCTCATGGTGACATATTTAAACAAGAACAGTCAAATTCAAGCTAAAAAGGTGGACTAGTGGTCAAAGATTTTACAATTTAATTTAAATTTAATCTGGCTCAGTAACTCTATCATATGAGGAAAGAGAAATGGGGAATTATAATAAAGGTTGAAATCATAAACTGAGTAATTTACATAATAATAACTACACATATTTTTGAAGAATAATTTTTTTTATGTGTTCAATTTCTTTCTTCAACAAGTTTCCTTTTCATTTTAGAATTTTTGGATTTAATTAAGGATTTTTGTTAATCTAAAAAAAAAAAAAACTAAATGCATTTCGAATGTATAGAAAAAGCAGTTAATTTTATTTCTTTAGTAACATGAACACTCAGAAGAAATATGAAATATACATGGTAAGGGCCAGTTACAGAGCTGGTGTGGCAGAATTTTTAGAATTTAGTGACACACCGAACAACAAAATCTAGAAATGACAAAACTTTTAGAATTTAGAGCAGGCATTGGAAGCAGAGTTTAGAAAGGCACTAGGCAGCAGAATTTAGGATCCACAGAGATTGCATCAGGTGGAAAAATGCCTAGTCCCAGCTCTGTGTATGATGCATTAAGACATATTAGATGACTATTTTAAATTGTAAGTTTTCAATTTCTTTATTAATAAAAAAATTCCTTTCTATAATAACCCCCCGGGGGTCGACGTAGAGAACTCTGCGAAGCTACTGGCTAGGATCTGTACCTAGGCAGTCTCGGCCACGGGAGTATAAAATTTATGACTTGGTGGTTCTGAAGGCTCTGGGAAAGGTCACTTATTGGCCGGCCTCGGAGTCTGGCATGTCCTAGCGTGGCGTGGTTCTAGTAACCCGGGGGGTCTTCCCCGGGGTCGCTGGGTAATGTCCCGCTGCGACGGGCTCGCCCAAGCGACTGGTAGGAGCATTAGACAACCGGTGCTGCCTGGTGTCATATCCAGGTGGTGCGCTGCTCTCTTGGAGGTTAATAGTGGAGGTTGAACCTCCACGATGTGCCCAAAGGGGGAGTAGACCTGCAGTGGGATTCAGTTCTCGGAGCAGGGAAGACAAAACTTTCTTTCTTCTTTCTTTACATAATAATGCTTGCCCATGTGATAAGATTAGAAGCATTTTTTATATTTTCCATGCTTGTTCCTAGTGAAAAGTACAGAAAATAAAGGAAAGATAAACATGTTAAGAAAAGATTCTAGTATCAGAAGTAAAACATTCAAATATTATGTTTTCATTGTTCTTCCAGTCATTCTCCAAAAAGTAAGAAATTCATCGCAAACTTTCTGTAAAATACATCTATCACATGTTAATATCGTGGAAACATTTTTCATTTTGTGACATATTTCTGGATAATTAATTACATATCTGATTTTGCTTTTGCTAAGAGCTGTTTCATAAACTGTGCTTTATAGCATTACACCTTGTTTATTTTTCAGATTCAAAATATTGTATAATAAGTTGTCAAAACTTTATAATACAACAATGAAAAATAAAAATGTTTTATTTTAAAGTTATTTTTTAAATACAATTTCAATATATTACCATCATTTTAATGAAATTTGTAAATATTACAATGTTTTAAAAAATATCGTTGAAAAATTCCCAGATCTCGGAATTATAATCACCAAAACGTTGATAAGTAGCGAAATTTATAACCGTTTAATAAAAGAATTCACATCCCCAAAAGTGAAAATTTGTTTAAGAGCTTTTTATTAGAAAAAACGAATTTCAAAATGCTTATGTTTCACTTCTTGCTTAGAAACTCGAGTATCCCACCATTTACAGTCAAAAGTCTTTAATCCGGACTCATCGGGACTTCGGCGATTACGGCTTATCGGTTTTTCCGTATTATAGAACATCAGATTAAATCTGGTAAGATGGCATGAAGAAATTATAAAATTTAAAATATGAAACAGTAATTTATGAAATGAAGAGCAATTATGATCTAAAAGGTATCAAAATTTACAAAAAAAAAAAAAAAAAAAGCTTAATATTTATTTGTTTACTTTATTAAACATTTCTTTCAACGCGAGTATGCGTAAAGCATACATTACGCAGAGTCGAAATTGAAAAATTGCAACCAGAAAACTATTTGATGTGTATTCGTGATATTTGTAATGACGAAAAATTTGATTTAAATCATATCAAAGATGGAGTACATCGAGATGAAATACTACATTTAGTAAGGAATTATAAGCCGAATAAAATAAAAACATCTGCCCTGAAGATAAGGATAGTGCTGACAGATCAACTTCCAGTTCATTGCGCGCCGTGACATTTCCTGCCCCTCGCTGAGCAGCGTGAAATTGATAAACAGATTTCGGAATGGTTAGAGAAACAAAAAATATGCCTTTATCCTTTTTTTGCAGGAATTCCACTTTTTGTTTGATGGATATCGAAACATGCTTTCGCTTTGTAGATCCTTTGGCAGCTCCAGAATCGGATATTCTTTTTGACATAATAGAAAGTTCAAGCTTACTTTTATAAAATTGCTTTAACAGTCTGCAAAAAATAATAAGCCGGATCCAATTAGAAGATTAAGGAACAATGCAATCTGCAACATGAACTGAAATAGATAATTAGATATTTATAGCTTAGCTTATACCATCTGTTATACAAAGATTCATCGTTAGAATAAACCAGAAAATAAAAATGAAAATGGTAAAGTAATAAAAATAAAAATTAAAAATTAATCTGCTTTGTTTGAAAACCTAATTCAGAACTCAACACGGGAAAATGAATTAACGTCTCAGAAAAGTAGATTAATGTGTCTCAAATACGTGCTTCATTCTTCTGAATCATTTGAGATAAAAAAACTGATAAAAAATTCACTTAAACTTTAAAACCGCAAGCTCGAATCTCAAATGTATCTTTTGATTCCAATTTAATTTTAATTTTGATTGTTTTAAATTTAATTTATATATATAGCAGAAAAATTGAAAAAGTAAAAACTTAAAATTTAGTGAATTTCAAAATTTATTCAGAATGACATAATTCAACATAATATGAAAATAATTTCTTTTATTTTATCTATTACTATCCTGAATTATATATATATATATATATATATGTATGCAGCATTTTATCATTATGAAATAGTAATGCAATTTATATATCAACATTTGATTACATATATATGCAAAAGTTTTACAAGTATTTATAAAACGAGTATGTTCTTTCCATTTTTGAAAGACTTACAGCTTTTGTTTTTGCTTGTTTTATGTGCTTCTGGTAACTGGAGAGTTTGAAAAACCTTTAAAGTACTTTTTGTAGAAACTGTTACAATATTAGATCAATACATACAAAACAGTTTTTTCCATTCTTAAAGAAACACAAAAGGCAAGCTTGAAGAAAACTTACCACCAACATTTTCTGAAGCTTCAAAACTTCATTTTGTTTCAAGAGTACATCTAATCCCACTAGCATAGCCAAAGCAGCAAAAATGTTGTCCAACAAGTTTGAGACATGACAATCACTGCAGACATCATTCTTTGTGATGAGGATCAAAACTAATCTGAAATGAAGGGCACAGATTACAAATTAAAATAAATGTAAAACATAATAAAATACAGTAAAGAAGGAAAAATAGAAGCATTTGCTACTAATGTCACCTATGTCTACTAATAATGAGCATAAAGATGGTGTTGATATATGTAAAACTCTTTAAATTGTTCGAAACAGCAACCAAAAATGAGGAACAATAAATTATGATTAAGGATTATAATATCCCATACACGTAAAACTAACTTAGTCAAGGTACTGCTGTATGCATGATGAAAGTTGATGCCCACTGTTTTGTTATGGAATATGTAAAAAATGACATCATGATGCCTAGGACTCATTCTACTCTCATCTTTAAAACTACAATATAATATTCTTTTCTCCAATAAATATGTTGATAGCACCACTGCGAATCAGCCTTGACAATGGTGATATCACAAATGGCACAAATGCTTTCATAAGGGATGCATGTGCTTCCAGAACAGAACTTCAGCTTGCTCTACCACTCATTTCTATATTTATTGCTGCTCTAATTTTCACTACCATAGATGGTCATTCCATCAGGTAATCCTTCTTATATGGCATTTTATTCAACCTTTTTTCTCATTTTCATTATCTAAAAGATTCAACAACAACAACAACAACCTAATTCTGTAATAACCTGACAACCTAATTCTGTAATAACCTGACAACCTAATTCTGTAATATGTTTGCCTCATTTCAAGTAATGCTAATTTGTTTACCTGATTTGCTCATTTATTTGGCTTTTCCTCATCCTAGATACAATATCAACATATTGTAAATAATATAGCTATTCCTTCCCTTATGAAAATTCTATTTAGGAAATTTTACTTTTATTGAAGACCTAAATAAGTACATTTTTGGCTAATAAAAGAAACCCAAGGATTTTCCCTTTCATGCAGAAAGATTAAAAGCAAAATCATGGTCTGATGATGCAGTGATAGCAGAAAAGAATGAATTATTATAATAAAGCATTGTGGTAATACAACATTCATTAATGACTTCAACTGACTCCATACACATTCAAAATATTATCTATATTTAAGACTTAAAATGCATACATTTTCACAAATAGGATTCTGAGTTTACTCTGCCTTTTTTAAAACTTCTTTTTATTGTTGTTGCATTACAAGCAATAATGCAAGAGATAAAGTATGCCCCCTCATTGTTTCTTTAACTAATCACCACACATCTCCCCCAGTTCATCCGATAGCAACTCAAAGGCATAACATCAAATACAAAGTGAGATGAAGCAAGGAAGCTATGCAAGATAAACATCAAAGGATCCATATTGTTTATTTTCCCCTTTTTTCTAATAATAAAATTAGGATACAAAATTGAAAAAGATTCAAAATGTGATTGAATGTATGACAAAGTTACAATACACACATATAGAAATGAAAGAACACCAAATGTATTACTAAGCAAATTCCAAAATATTTTTTAATTGTAATATAAAAAGCAAGTATCTTTGAGAAGTGAACAAGTCTGTTGTATCCCAAAGAATCTGGTAGCAGATTTATTCCACTGAACCTCTAAATCTCTGTTTAGTTTGCATTCAAATCACTATCTAAGGACTACGTTATTCAATATTTGATGTATCTAAGTAAAGTTATATTTTCACAGTGCGAGACACATACATACAATCACGTAGATTCTTCATTATTTATTTTTTTAAACATAATTGCAGGGATCTAATATTTGGTGGCAACAATTTGAAAAGTGAAATGCTGTTTATAGTAAAATGCCACAAAATTGCAAAACGAAATTAATAGCCCTTCTGGGCTAATAAGAATGAGTGTTTGTACACGTAAGTATACAAACTGAAAGTAGAACTTAAATAATATTTATTGTGACAATATAGAGATTTTACACTCTACAACAAAGATTAGTGATGAAATGAATGTTGTTGTCTTGATTGCCGGTATTCAAACTGAATTATAATTTAGAAACACCAAGAATCTCTAACCAATTGGTAAGTTTACTGGTTTCATTTTTTAGCTATCAAAATGAGGTGCTACTCTGACTAACAAAAATAATGGAATCAAAATTTAAAACAAATAATCATGAAATAAATTTTAATCTGAAGTTTTCAGATTTCATATTGTTCCTAAAGGGGTGTTTTTTGTTTCGTGTGTTGCCTTTATGTAGCGCAGCGGTATCTTAACCCGCGAGCACACGCCCCGGGTATCTCATACTAGAGGGCATATTCTTTGTCCCTTATCTCAAAACCCCTTTCTTTGAAATGGACGAAACCTTTTGTAGCTGAACTCAAGGTCACATTCATGAAGCTGGGAAATCTGTGGAGTGATTCTTCAAATACTTTTCTAATAATCAATGGCGGCAGCAAATCATGCTCCCTTTGAAACTAAAAGAAAAGTAATTTCAGGAGATTGCAACATGGAACCACCGTCTAAAAAGATGAAAAACATTTACAGAGGATGCACTGGGTGCCCTAAAAACAAGGACAGAAAGACACAGTTTCTGTGCGAGAAATGTAATATCAGTACAGTCAAAAGTCATTAATCCGGACTCGTCGGGACTTCGGCGATTCCGGATTATCGATTTTTCCGGAATATAGATCATCAGTTTAAATCTCGTAAGACGGCATGCAGAAATTCTAAAATAAAAAATATGAAACCGTAATTTATGAAATAAGAACAATTAATGATCTAAAGGGTATCAAAATTGCAAAAAGAAAAAAGCTTAATATTTTATTGTTTACTTTATTAAACATTTCTTTCAATGTAAGTTGTTTTAAGTTTTGCTTTCGTTTCATGTGATAATACTTTCTCTTTAATTCTATTAAACAGACATAATTTCTTGTTCAGTTACAGTTTTACAAAGTTCCGCCCTTCAAGTCCTATATTGCTGTTGGCTGTGTCAAGAACACCGACTAATTTGTCAATCGAAATTTTTTTGTTTTCAATAACTACCCTGTCACTTTTTTCTTCGCTGTCGGAAGCGAATTAATAATGACGAGAACTTGTTTTAAATCATATCAAAGACGGAGCATATCAAGATGAAATACTAACATTTGGTAAGGAATATAAGCCAAATAAAATAAAAACTAAAACATCTGCGCTGAGATAAGGATAGTGCTGACAAATCAACTTCCAATTCATTAGGCGCCGTCCCGAGCAGCGTGAAATTGATAAACAATTTCGGATTTCAAAACATACTTTCGCTTTAGATCCTTTACATATTAACAAATATATATCGGAATTCTATTTGATATAATCGAAGTTTAAGCTTACTTTTATAAAAGCTCTTACAGTCTGCAAAAATAATAAGCCGGATGCAATTCGAAATTAAGGAACAACGCAATCTGCAAACATTAACTGAAATAGATAATTAGATAATTTTTGCTTATACGTCCATATACCATAAATGCGCACGCGAAAACGTATTCTCACTTGCGCACAGTCATATGTGCAGTCCGTAAAAGGTCTTACGCCGCAACGTGAACGCCTCTGCGCATGTGTCAACGTGGCGCATGCGCAGAAAGTTTTTAGTTTTGATGTCCGGATTATAGATCATTCCGAATTATGGGTGTCCGAATTAACGACTTTTGACTGTATTTGTATAGAGCATATGTGTTCAGTCTGCCAGAGATGTGCAAAATAATTGTATTTTAAGTACTTCATTTATTATATTCTTTAAAATATTCTAAAGTTCATTTTTCATGTTAATCCACATTTATACTCATATTTATATTATTAATGTAATTTAAAACACGTTAATTGCTTTTGGGTATGACATACCCAGTGCGCCTTTTCGTGTTCGTAATTTTTGCGCTTGTGCTCTTGAGTTAAATTTAAATTAATAAACAAAAGAATACATCTTTGTGAGTGGACAGTAGTACAACTTTTATTCAGCGATTTCAACACAACACAGCAAAAAGGTAAAGCGAAAGTTACAATTAGCATTTGGAAGAATGCAAAAACAAAATGCGAACTGCGCATTGTGAAATAATATCTCACAGACAGGCAGATGACTCTGAAGGCCGAAACACTTTATTTATTAAATATCATGTTCTTTGCATCTAAACCATAAAATTCAATTCAACAGCAAGATCACAAAATATTTATCAGAGCAAATCTTTAGAATTTCCGACACACAGTCTTTTTTTTTTTTTTTTTTCCACACAGTGTTGCCAATGCTCACTTTGAAATCATTGAGTTCCTTAATCAACACTCATAAAAAATTTGGGCTTCCAGATGCCCATACTCGGGCAGATATGTACGTTATTCAAAATTTGATGACTCTAGGTACCGTTGTTTTATCACAGTGTGAGAAACATACATACATTTATGCAGATTCTTCATTATTATTATTTTTTTAAATTTAATACAGGGCCCTAATATTTGATGACAATAATTTAAGAAGTGATTCGCTGTTTATAGTGAATCAACGCAAAATTCCAAAATGAAAGTAATAGCCCTTCTCAGCAAATTGTCCCTTTAGGCTAATCATATTCATATTTATATTTCTTTTATTCTCAATGGCAACAAATAATTATTGGCCCTTCCTACCACCATGGAGCTAATAGTTACATATTGTTATTCAGAATAAAAGAAATATAAATATGAATATTAACAAAACATTTGAGTTAATTTTACATAATAGTAATTCCACACATGTAAAAATATCAAATACTTGAAATTAAACAATTACAGTCAAAAGTCGTTAATTCGGACACCCATAATCCGAACCTCAAAGCTACAAACTTTTTGCGCATGCGTCAACGCATGCACGTAAGACCTTTACGGCCACCATATGCTTGTGTGCATGCACATAATATGCATGTGCGTTTAATGTATAACGGACGGTATAAGGTAAAATTATCTAATTATCAATTTCAGTTAATGTTGCAGATTGCGTTGTTCCTTAATCTTCGAATTGGATCCAGCTTATTATTTTTTGCAGACTGTTAGAGCAATTTTTTATAAAAGTAAGCTTGAACTTTCGATTGTGTCAAATAGGATACTGGGAGACTCCCAGATATCAAAGGGAAGTATGTTTCGATGTCCATCAAACAAAAAGTGTAATTGCTGCAAAAAAAAGGGAAAGGCATATCCTTTTTTTCTAACCATCCGAAACTGTTTTCAATTTCATGCTGCTTGCCGCGGAAAGGGGGGGAACGCCTTGGCGCGCAATGAATTGGAAGTTGATCTGTCAGCACATCCTTATCTTCAGGCAGATGTGTTTATTTATTTGTCTTATAACCTTACTAATGTGTATCTCGATGTACTCCATCTTTTCTATGATTTAAATCAAATTCCTCGTCATTATAATTCGCTTCTGATAGTGAAGAAAGTGACACAGAGGTTATTGAAAAGGAAAAACTTTCGATTGACAAATTAGTCGGTATTCTCGACATAGCAATTATAGGACTTGAACAGCGGAACATTGTAACTGACAAGAAATTATGTCTGTTTATAGAATTAAAGTATTATCACATAAAAGGAAGCAACTTAAACAACTTACATTTAAATTAATTTCTGCATGCCATCTTACCAGATTTAAAGTGATGATCTATAATCCGGAAAAAAACCCTAATCTGGAATCGCCAAAGTCCCAACGAGTCCAGATTATGGACTTTGTACCGTATTAGTGTAAGGCTACCTATTTTCCTCTTTGCTGCATTTTATATTACAGTTTCCTATTTATTATTCCATTTGAAAAATTTATTCATTAAAAATTCCCTTTTGCTACATACTGATTGTCCTTTTGCTATAAAACTAATTTTGTGGAATAGTGTAACATAATTATCATATACAATTATAAATTAATTTAGTTAACCTTTTATGATATTCCCGCCATGAAATCTTTTCATCTGGTGTTACAGCACATTTTAATTCTACTTCCTGTAAGCGAGAAAACATATGCACGCCATTCAAAAGTCCAATAGATGCAAATGGAAGTTTCTACAAAAAATGAATAAAAAAAAAAATTAAACACAAAAAGTGTCTAACAAAAATCAGAGTCGAGAATAGTGAAACAGAAACGGTATACAACGAAAATAGAAATTAAAAAAAAAAAAAAAAAAAGAAGCAATATTTTAATATATTATTATTAAAAATATGTTATGATTAGTGGGTTTATTGATTTAATAAAGGTAAATAAAGCTCATGAGGACTAACCGACAAAAGAGAAATGTTTTTGCAGAGAATTTTCTAAGGAAAATTAGCTCATATTTATGTTACATATGAGAAAAACAATGAAAACCAGGTAGGTTAGAAAAGGAGAGAAGGTTCTGTTTAGAAAGTGATACTTCCTGCATTCATATTTCATCCATTAAATTTTGTGTTGCACAGAAATGTATGATCAGAACATCTAAAATTATTCCCAGGATTATATTTGTGTAAATATTTTCATGTAATCTACAAAACATGGAAAATATTATCATATGTTTCTATTTCATATCTAATGAAAAGCAAACAAATTATATGATATACATTTTCTTGTATCTGATCACTGTTCCTTAGCATGGAGTAACATGTTACATTTTACACTATGTTATTGGATGTTGTTAGAAACTCTTATGAATTATTAATCGTAAAACTGAAATAATTTTTGCAAAAAATGTGTCAGTTAGAGTAGACTGAAGGGTACCCCTTTGTATTATCGCGAAGTTGTTGTTTCATTTATGGTAACCTGAGTAGTTGAATGTTCCGTAAATATACTTTTACCTAAAGTTGTGTGCCCCTTCGACTTTTAAGTGAAAATATATCGATGTGTACATGGACAAAGGGAGTGCGCAATGCCAAGTTTGTGCAATTCTCTGATGTCTTTTTAAGTGAAAATAGGTTGACGTGTACATGGATAAAGGGAGCGTGCAATACCTAGTTTGTGCAATTCTGTGATTTTTTTTAAGTGATAATAGGTCAATGTGTACATGGATATGGAGTTTGTGCAGTTCGACTTGTTATTTTGTATAAATTAACTTCAACTTGTTATTTTGTATTGTGTAGCGGCGATTTTTGGCTCTAAAATAACTGCTACACAAAGGCCAAAATAACAAGTCAAAGAATTGCACAAACTCAGTATCTATGTACCACCAAAAATCGGCAAGGGGTACCCGTAAAGATACTTTTACCAATGTATCTTTATTCAATTAATATATTTTTGTGAATAAACCACAAATAACTGTCTTGTAAAATTTTTAAAAAGATATTGAAAAGGTAACATGTAAAAGGCAGTTAATAAAATCTAAATAAATCATTGAAATATGTATAAATCTCATTTAGAAAGTTTGAAAGCTATAAATAATGCATTCAGATTTGACAGCACTTGTTCACAATTTGCTACTTATGTTTTGTTACAAATATCATCTTTATTATGTCAGAAGGCACAGCCTTCGCACAATTTTGAAAATTGTTGCCAATACCAAAATGACCTCACCAACCCAAATCCTGTGTGTACCGTACACTAGTATTAAACCAAATTTAAGACAAGTTCTATGTTTCATGTTAAGTAAATATCCCACATTATTACTAAAAAATACACTCATAGAACACCAATAAAACAAGTACATTTCACTGCCTCATGGCAATGTTTTGATCTCATAAACATAGTTGCCGCTTATTCTGGCAGGTTTCATTTCAGACAGAGGAAACTAGGAACTTCTCTCCTGTTTTAACCCTGTAGTGCTTCCGTGGCATATTGTTATGTTAAATGTTGTGTGGCATCTACCAGAAGCCAGGTATATTTTTGCTATATTAATATATATTATATTTAGGTTATTCAACTCAAATTTCTGAATGCAAAGGGATTATTAAAAAAGCATACATATATTTGTGGGGTTTTCATCCGCAGAGAACCCGTTGGCGCCGTTGCATTCTTACTCGCCAAGCTCGCGTTTCATCGACGATGAGCCGAGCCGTAAACGTGATTTTTAGTGCATGTAAATTCAAGTTAGCAGATAAAAACAATATATTAAGCATATGGTAGTAAAAATTCACAGATAATATGCAGTAGATTGTAAAACTAAGGTTAAACGTGATATAATACGAAAATAAATTTGCATTAAATTCAAGTTAGACAAAAGATATATTATTAAGCATAGACAATATATAAGCATTTATAACGGATATAAATAAAAATTCATTTAAAATATAAATTAGTATTAATATACTGAAATTAAAAACGTGATATACGAAAAAAAATTTGTCTTAATTCCTTTACACAAAACAATATATTCCTTACACTAGCAGTCTTTTCTAATTTTGATGACCATGGTGATGCATCAAACTTTCTGTCATCTATATAATCAATATTTTTTTATTTCAATTTAATCTCTATTTATGCCCACCTACCATCCTCTGAAAGTATTGTAGAAAAGCATTAACATATTTCTTGTTAAAATTTTACGCCATAAAAATTGCTTTATTCTCATAATTTTTAGATGACAATAACCAATAATAAAATAAAGCATTACTTAATATTAAAATGCACATGCACATTTTTGCGGTCTACGAAACAAATTATTTAGACTTTGGAAACCTCATGTTAGAGCTGGTTAATAATTAAGAACACACGTGAACAGCCGTGTTCAAATTTAACTTCACCCCTCCTTTCATCCCGATCCGAGAAAACCGGCATATATCTAGGAAAATATTTCTATCTATCATTGTTTAAAAATTCAGAAAAATAATAATAATAAAGAGAATAATATAAATCTGCAAATGCGAACACGACAGTCTTATTCAACAAAATAAACCAGAGGAAATGGTGCAAACTTCGAACAAAGTGAATGGGATAAATCCGAAGGGTTACCAAGTTAGAACTATTATCGCCAAAGTTGGCGATGTTTACATTTACCGGGTTCTCTGCGGAAGTGCTTCCTATTTGTGGTATCTATTACAAACACAAATAACAAAACTTCAGTTTACAGTGAGACTTAATTTTATTCAAATTAACTCAAATACAAGTGAAATTGTCTCAGTTAGTTGCACAAATTAGCAATCAACGCATATTTGCTGAGCGTTTTCTAATAATAAAACTGTTTACAACTGCGGTATTTGTACTTGGTGTACCTGTTCTTGGAATGGACATATTCATGTTATTTCTGCCTTTTAGTAGTTCAAGCCTCTACTGTAAGTTGAACTGTACCCTCATCTGAGAAAATGCTTTGAATATCCTGCTTGAGGTTTCTAGGTAATGATGAACATTGAGAACGTCTATGCAAGGAATCATAAGCTACCCACAAGTTTAAAAAACTCACTGCACGTGGTGCTGATTGATAAGTTATTTGCACGACAAATTATTTGAGCATTTATAGCTGCTACATTCATCATACTATAAAATATGACCATAGGGCATTTGTTCGTTTTCCTGGCAACATTGTAAGTGCTACACAACTGGTCAACAGCATAAATTTGTTAGTTGAGTTATAAAAGGTTATCATCTGTGGCTTTTTTTTTTTTTACATGCTTCATGAATTACATCATGATGCATAGTGGAGAGAATCAGAACCACCTTGTTTTTCTTAGTTACATACGACATTAGAGTCATTATGAAACCCAAACAATGATGTTCCTACTTCCCGATTCTTTGTATGTGTAAACCCTGGAGGAATTTCACTCTTATTCTTTCTCATAGTTCCAACCAAAGTAAGATTATTTTGAAGCAAAAAATTTGCTAAATGTAACAAGATAAAAAAATTGTCTATAGTTATATGGCGACCTGAGATTATAAAACTCCTTTGTGGTTTGTTGCTAATTCCGAATGGACCTGCAGGCAGCTTGCCAACATACATTTCTAGGTTTACAGAGTAGTACATCCTGGCATCTATTAATGCAAATAATTTTATCCTAGAACCTTATTTGGTTTACTAGGGATATGCTGCCTGGAGAAACGTTTACCCATAAAAGTATCTAATCTTTCATCAACTGTACAATATTCTCCAAATGAATAAGCATACTCACAATTTTCCACAAATGAAGAAATCACATCACGTATAGGCACTAAATTGTCAGTTTTGTTCCTTATATCGCGTGTGTCACTCTTGTCGAACCTCAAACAATGTGAAAGGAACCTAAATCGTTTTTCAGACATTATTAGATGGCATAACTCAATACCCAATTTTATCAGAGGACCATATCTCCTTGGTATTTACATGATTGTCCTGTCTAGAAGCATAAATGTGCAATACGCCTAGAAGCGCTTTTATTTTAATTATGTCAGTCAAATGGGCATCGTTTTACCGAGAATAATTTTCCTGTACTGTGGATATCTTTTCATTTGTGAGCTTAACTATATTAAATACATGCTCTTGTCGGAAAATTATGCCCAACATTGCTCCGGCTTTCCAGCATTTTTTTGCAACACCTTTCACCCCTGGCAAATGAGTGATAATATTATGTCGCCAAGAGCATATATTTTTTATTTTTAGGTGGGCAAACTTCTGATCATTTTGATGATTTATTCCGGCCTAGGAAATAGTTATCAGCAATATGATCATCACTATTGCTATCATTGGGGTCTTTCTTGCTCGGTGTCTGTGTTTTCTTTTCTTGTTTCCACTCTAGCTTCTTCTGTATCACTATAATCATCAAACTCATCACCTGATTCATATTCTTCCATCGGCATACATAGTACTATTTCTTTTGTCACGTTCATTTGATATTGAATTTTTTCTGAAAAGTCATCTTGACTCTAAGAAAATAAATAATAAAAACAAATGTTACCCATAAAAATTATAAATACCAAAAAAAATATATTTTTTTTACATTTAAAATTAAGTATATTCACAAACAATTTCTTTCAACTATCACTAAAATGGAAAAAAAAAAAAAAAAAAAAAAAAAAAAAAACTACTAAGGACAGCTGTTAATAATACAAATTAAAAATACTAGAATATATAAATTTTAAAATACTTATCTTTAGAATCAAAACCGGTCGCGTGGCGTCTCCTAGAATCCAGCAGAGCAAATCGGCTTATAACCTCTTCCTCTCAGCACTAAAATTAAAATAGCGTTGTTTCGATGATTTCTACTTATTTCTATATAGTTGACAGAAAGGTAGACGGCAGCATAAGCTTGCGCATCCGTTCATAAAGCAACTAAAAAAGAAACATTCCTGGCATCTGTGGAACGCCATGCGAGTAGTACAGGGTTAATCTTCTTGGTGAAAACCGCCCACAGCAATCTTATTCCATTGCCAGAAGCCAAATTCAGAATTAATTACAGCTTAAAATTAGGTTAAAAAAACTTAGCTTGGTGTAATTTTTGATAGCAATCAAGGAAAAAAAAATGGTCAGACTTTTCTTTTGCTTAATTTAAAATTTTACTATGTACACATGGAGGTAAGAAAGGAAGGAGTGGCCAAACCGGCACTAGAAGTGAAGCAGTGCTTCGAAGCTTCGGTCACCAGATGAGATTTTTTTTTTTTTTTACATTCAGAAGCTCGCTTGACTATGTTCTGATAGTATTTTGACAAGCGATAGTTCCATACAAATCGAAAAATGGGACACTTTTGCATGAAAGAAACATTCATAGTGTGATGGATAACAGCAATTTGCATAGTTTAGTGACAATTACGCAAAAATCACATCTTGGTTATTTTTTTCAATAACTAACAACAGCGATTTTGATTATGAATTTGTTTTAAAAAATTCCAAGCTCTTGAACTACAAAAATATAGATTTTAGTTTGTTACGCTTAAAGAATGAAAAATACCTTGCGGTACCTTTAAAATTGTATACATCTTTCGATACCCTTGCTAGAGTATTCGCTACTTTTATTTTATTTTTCAAACGCCAAAATGTTTTAAATAAAATAATTTTTTTTTCACATCCACATATTATGGTAACATGTACTTTTTAAAATTTTTTGGAGGAGAGGCTTTACTGTTGCTCATTTTAAACTCATAATTTTATTTTTATATATCTGAAAAATATTCACTTTGGGCTTACATGTTTTAATTGGTTATTATTATTTATTATATTATCAGAGAATTATTAAAGTGTGTAAAATCGATAAAAGAGGTATTGAGTGCTCTGCCAAAATATATTTACTAGCAGATTTGAATTTGATGATGAATATATCCTAAAACGTGTTTTAAGTCAAAAGTTTGAAACTTGATGGCTAAATGTAAATATAAAATGATGCATGTTAAAATATTTGTAATTAGGCACGTAGGTCACATTAAGTTTTTATTAAATAGAGTAAGGCATGCAAGGGCTATCTGCCTAAAGGGAGAGATGCCATCATGGAGGAATTTTGAAGAAAAACTTACCTCTGAATGAGTATTAAAAATAATCCAGATAATTTTCATTCAAATTATATTTATACATATTTCTTATGTAAAACTTTTGAGTATATGTTAAATTAGTGTAAATTACTTTACTCGAAAAATATAGTAAATGCACAAAAATTACAGATTTGCACATGCCTGAAAAGAAAAATATGAAATATGTATGGGTATTTAGGCATGTGCTTGCAAAAAGCATGTATCTGCCTTTAACAAAATACGTAAATATTTATTAATGTGTTTGAAATGAAGGATTTATTCATTTATAAACAAGTGAAAGTTACTTTAAAGAAATCTAATTATTAAATGTATCTAAATTTATAATGATCATAAACATTATCTAAATATATAATAAACTTAGCATTGAATTGTAAACATAAATTGAAATCCTGTTGACAAATATGTTATAAAACTATTTAAGCAAGAATTGTTCGTACTGGAAAGCAATCTGTTAAAAGATATAGTAAAGCAAATTCTATGAGATGCGTACTTGAGTAAGTACTAAAGAAGAGTTTTGGAATACGTATTGTTGAAATTATGGGTAAAAAATCTGATAAGTATAGTTAAAAGAATTATTCCCCTTACATTTTATAACTCAGTTACAAGTTTTAAATAATATTTAAAAAAAAAAAAATCCTTATTTAATTCCTTTTCAGAAATATTCTGAGAAAGTTAAGTACTATTTAAAGTATTTCACTATTAAAATAAAAGGTGCTCTAATTTGAAATGGACCGAACAGAGCATTAATTATAAATTGGCTTATAGTTTTCCATTTAAAAGATGCCTCAGAAGCTAAAATATGTCATATTTAAGAAAGTATTTTAGGAAGAAGCTCCATAAATAGAAAAGAAATAACGCATACTTTTAATATTAATAACACAATAAACTTTGATCTGAAGTTTTGTAATCTTTAACCGAACAAAATCAAATTACCTTCAAATTTTTTTCAAATTTAATTAACAAAAACTTGTGAAAATATTTCACTCAAATTAAACCATTCTGAGCAAACTGTTCTGTAAAAAGTATAGCATTTAAGTCCTTTCAAAATGAAATGTATTTTCATATACGTAGGACTCTGAAGTACTGTAGAAAAAGAAAATATATACATTTATATGTATATTTACGACGTAATTACATAATATTTACATCCGATCGTGTCAAAACCCATTGAACTTAATGGTAAATTACTGAATGTTTCGGTCACCACGTAGGGATCGCCAGTACTTCAGAGCAGGGTATGGGAAAAACCGGTTAGGGCCACTCCATCTTACTTCCTACATCTATGACCTTACACCATGTTTACCCGTGAGCATTTTTTACCGATTTGATGTCCCCAGCTGTTTTAGTGAGGATTGGGATTCCCCCATCAGCCGTCAAAACTGCTAAGAATGCCATTTGCGATCCCTATTTTTCCATATTTTCGCATAAAAAAAATAGCAGAAATAAAACTTGCTAAAACAACTATCATACAGTGCTATTTTTGCATCATGCTAAGTCTTTCTGCCACAAATTTAAATTATATCCCATTTATCATAAACAGCGTCACAGTTAAATATTTTTCCACAGTTTATGCATAAGAATATGCTAGGTTATAATTATCTAAGATATTAATAAAATTTTGTGATGCTGTTTCGGTAATAATTACATTTCTTAATGTTTTTCATGTCTTTTATTACCGATCATTTTATTTAAATTTTCTACCTTTTTTCCTCCCGTTTGTATCTCCTGAGGAAGAACTGAAATTTTTAACCTTCGTTTAAGTAGAAATTAACTTTTGTCATATGTTTCTATAAATGTAATTGTCACTTATTGCGTTATATTGAGATTCCTCTTTTGACTTTACCTTTGCGTTGGATAGGGCGAAAGTTTCATTGTTTACAAAAAAAAAAAAAAGCATACCCTTGCAGAAAGTCTTGACTGCTGCAGAGTTTGTAAACATACCCGCCAAGTCATCGTATTATCGCCAGCTGAATGCGTTGTGGATGTTCAAATTACATTATCAGAGGCGTTTTTGGTTTCGTTTCGTTTTGAGCTAGTAATAAAAGTTTCTCTTCAGATTCATTTTTTTAAAATTTAGAATTAAATTCAAAAAATCATTCTATTCTAATGAAACAGTCTGTGATCTTTAATTGGAAAAAATAATAGATGTATTTTGTTTTAAAACATGTATTCAAAATTTAGTTAGATTTGAGTTCGCTGTCTTGGGCTTGTTTTTAATCGTCGTATATTTAACGTACAATTAAGTATTTATTAAATTAAGTTAATCAGTTTGTAAATGTTACATCCATAGGTTGACGGAATATATTTTTTTTTAAGTAAGTTAATAGACTGCATTGTACAATGGCTACACAAATCTCGCAATACCTTCGACTTTGAAGTACAAATAGCAGTATATACAGATTAAATTAGAACTTTTTAAAATTTCATTTAAAAAATTCTCTTATTTGCAAAATTATGTTTGAAAATTATTCAAATAATTAAATACTTAAAAAAAATAAGCATCCAAGTGTATTTATCTCACAAAGGTAAAGTGGCCACATATTCATTGAGACAAAGCGGGACAAATAGAATGAATTTAGAATTTATCAATGAAACATACCAATAATTCAAAAAAATATATTTTATTGTATATATTCATATACTTGTCTATAATTATACAAAACAATATTTATTATTAACTATTAGTAACTATAAAATATAAACAATATGAATATTATGTTTTTTAATTAATTTAATATTTTTCATTTAAAAAATTATAATTTTCTTTCATGGTCATATTTTTTATCCGAGTGAATACTTTGCGATAGATTTGGATCATTTATTAAAATGTCGTGAAATTTCTCACATGCATTGGTCAAATTATATTTTAGGCTTAATGCAGATTTTAAAGTTTTAATCTTCAGCTGTGTTTTTTCAATTGTCTATATTTTATTGACACTAGAAAAACATGTTCTGTTGCTGCATTTGTTCCTGGAAGGGAGACCGCATGTTCTACAATTTTCAAAATATTTTCATAAGGAATAGTATTCTGTTCAAAGTGAAGGAATAATGGCTAAAGTGCAGAATCGCGCACTTATTTGTATAAGAGTAAGAAGAATTGGATTTTTGTCAATTTTCTTTTAATTTTTAAGTGAAAATAGGTCGATGTGTACATGGATAAAGTCAAGGGAGTGCACGATGCCATTTTTGTGCAATTCTGGGATGTTTTTTTAAATAAAAATAGGTCGATGTGTACATGGATACCGAGTATGTGTAATTCTTAAAAACGCGCCAAGCAGTGGGCGATTCTGCACTTTCCCCGGAATAACTCCGTCCATTTTTTTTTCCCCACATTTGCAGACAACTAACATTTAATTTTTTTCATCAGTAATGTATCTTTTTACCAATGACACCTCATCAAAAAATTATTTTCGCAAATATTATTTTTCGGAAAATGGTTACAAATATATTAAAAAGATTTTTTCCACATATTCCCTTTCCTCCTTTTTAATGTCACCTAATGAAAGTTTTTAATATCCTCGAATTGAACTGTCCATTATTCAAGATATTCCAAGCAGTTATTATGAAAATTTCTGACTTCTTTCAGAAAATCAGGTCGTTTAATGGCACCTTGTGCTTCCAAACTAGTGATGTCCTTTTGAATAACTAAAGGAACGTAATTCTTTATCAATTCTTTCTTCACAATTTTGTTTTTATAAGTTGCTGATTTCATTTGACACTTCCGTATTTGAAATTTTGTTCCCTTCAATAATTTTCACAGCATTGTGAAATAATGTAACGTGGTTGTGGATGAACTGAAGCCAAATTTGTGATGTGTCATTTTTAAAAAAGAGCTGCAATATTCTTAGACATCGTGTTTTGCCGTTTGTGATAAAAAGTACGATTTTAACGGTTCATACATTTTAAAAATATTTTCTACAGCTGATAAAAGAGCTAGCCATCGTGTTTTGCTGTAACCAATAATTCTTTTCTATTCAATTTCTGCACTTTCACAAAAATCCTTCAAACTTTTCAACACGTACAGTCAAAAGTCGTTAATCCGGACACCCATAATCCGGACCTCAAAGCTACAAACTTTCTGCGCATGCTTCATTGCATAATACGTTCACGCATGCGCATAATACATTTACGCATGCACGTTTAATGTATAACGGACGGTATAAGCTAAGCTAAAATTATCTAATTATCTATTTCAGTTAATGTTGCAGATTGCGTTGTTCCTTAATCTTCAAATTGGATCCGGCTTATTATTTTTTGCAGAGTGTTAGAGCAATTTTATAAAAGTAAGCTTGAACTTTCGATTATGTCAAATAGAATTTCCGATATATATTTACTAATATGTAAAGGATCTACAAAGCGAAAGTATGTTTCGATGTCCATTAAACAAAAAGTGGAATTGCTGCAAAAAATGGATAAAGGCATATCCTTTGTTTCTCTAACCACTCCAAAATCTATTTATCAATTTCACGCTGCTCTGTGAAAGCGAGGGACATCGCAGCGCTCAATGAACTGGAAGTTGATCTGTCAGCACTATCCTTATCTTCAGGGCAGATATTTTTATTTTATTCAGCTTATAATTCCTTACTAAATGTAGTATTTCATCTCGATGTACTCCATCTTTGATATGATTTAAATCAAATTCCTCATCATTATAAATATCACGAATACACATGAAATAGTTTTCTGGTTGCAATTTCTAATTTCGACTATGCGTAATGTATACTTTACGTATGCGCATGTTGAAAGAAATGTTTAATAAAGTAAACAAATAAATATTAAGCTTTTTTTTTTTTTTGTAAATTTTGATACCCTTTAGATCATAATTGCTCTTTATTTCATAAGTTACGGTTTCATATTTTTAATTTTATAATTTCTGCATGCCATCTTACCAGATTTAAACTGATGATCTATAATCCGGAATCGCCAAAGTCCCGACGAGTCCGCATTAAAGACTTTTGACCATATATATATAAAAATACAAATAAAAGATTTCGATAATGTTTTCAACATCCACTGGAAGTAAGTCAGATGCTGTTTGAACAGTATTGTGCAGAATGTGTGCTGCTAAACTTACTCAAATAATTTTTTTGTTCAAATGTTCGTTTTGTAAAAACGTTATTGATGCCTCTTCTAGCTTTTCCACCAAAATTTTTGTTAGTGTTATTCCTTACAATAGGCAATAATTTTATTGTTCAAATTATTCTTTTTTAAAATAGTACGTATTAAATGAAAAATTATTTATGAAGTTTCACCCGGCAATGAAACAAAATCTAATATTCAGATTTTAATTCCTGTTTCTGGATCAAAAATTCTAACAATTGTGTGAAATAATTTTAAATCTTTGCGGTTGGAAGCATCATAAATATATGGATATAAATGTGCATTTATCTAATTCTTTCTGCAGTTGTGAAAACGAATATGGTAAAAAAACATTACAAATAATTGCTTTGGTTTGTGTCCTTGCACATGCAAATTTTTGTCGTACAAAGTCTTGATTATTTGCGACGTACAATCAATCGATCTGAAACTTTGATTGTGGTTTATGGTGTGGAAAGCAAATAGCCCTTCAGCTAATGCTAGCTGTTCCTCCTTTTAACTATACATATTCCTTGATGAGACGTAACGACAATGATCGAATACCACCGAGTAAATCTAACTCGTTACATCCCCTAATTTAGTTTACTCTGCATGCATTTTATGTGTTTTTTTATTTCTTTATATTCACTATAATTAATATATAATACATTTTTACAGTACGTTTAAAAGAAGAAATGCAGATGTTTTCTAAAAAGCTGGACATTTTTAAAAATCGGCAGGATGTGGGACAGTCCTCCAAAAAGCGGGACTGTCCTGCCAAAATCGGGACGTGTGGTCACTTTACACAAAGGTCTTGAGACACCATTTTATTACCCCAAAGAAATTAAGACTTAATAAAAGTATATTATGCATTTTGATTTTCAAGTAGTGGCGATAGTTTAAATATGGTTTGAATTTATACTTGAAAATTCATTATACAAATAAATCTCAGTTTCATGTGTCCTGTGACATGATGTGGTATCATAAACATTAAATGATACTAAAAATATTGTTTTTTTATTCAAATCCGTTAGGAAAGTTGCTAAACATTTAAATTGGCCCTTTCTACTTGTTTCAAATTTATAAAAGATTCAAAGAAGGAAATCAAATTCTAATTAAGTTAAGAAATAGTCATCCATCAAAGCTTACATTGAAAGATCAACATTTTTTTTTTATTTAAAAAGAATTAAGAAATCTTTGTTTAAATGCATTAAATCATTTAGCAAAATTTAATGAAAGATTTAATATGTCAGTTTTCCCTGAAGCAGTCAGAACAGTTGTCAGATCAGATGAATTCCATGGTGCATTGATATTTTTTTTTCACAAATAAAAAGTAAATATCTCAGGTTTTTATTTTGAAAGTTAATGATAAATTTAACTTTATCATATTGAGATCAGATCATCATTGTGGATGAGATTGAATTCAATATTTTTTTTTTTTTTTTTTTTTTTTTTTTTTTTTTTTTTTTTTTTTTTTTCAGTGTATTGTATTATTGTCTGGTATAAAAAAAAGGGGAGAATTAAATCTAAAAGGTATGGTATTTAAAATAAAGCATGATTGCAAAGGTACCTAATATTGAATTGCCTATTTGCAGTGGGATTACATAATATAGATTTTATTGATACTGAAGTCACAATGCGTGAACATTTTAACCCTTTGGTTATGGGTATAAAATTCATAAAAACAGAAAATTTGATTCAAATAGAATTATAAACTAACAGAAAAGTAGTGATTTCTGTGTTAGCATGCCATAAAATTTAAGTGCCAACTTGATAAGAATATTCCTTGTGTATATTCAGGATAAATGGTGAATGCAGTCTTTATACAGTAGTTTGACAGTGAGCATGTTGCTTTACTTATTTGCGTGTTATTGTTCTACAGTTGCCCGGAGCAATAATCGAATCTCTAGATTTAAATCCAGTTAAATATATTTTGAGTGAATTGGAGGTAAAAATTAAGAAACATACAATTTCAATAAAAGTCAAATTAAAAAAAGGATTTAATTAGAAAGGAATAATTTTAATGCTAAAATTGTTAGTTTGCTCATTTGAGGTATGTAATAAAAAACTGAGGTCTTAGCATATAGGTTAGTAAGCCTCACCATTGTTTTTACCTTCATCCCAGTTTTCATGGAGAACCTATTAGGAATGGATCCAAGTCATCTACCACTAACCCCTTAAGAAGAATTTTCTCAACAGTGTTTTGAGTACATCAATACCACAAATATAGCAACTTATCATCAAGTGATAATCTTTTTAGAAGTTAAGCATTTTTTTCCCCTTTTGTCAGTTTCTTCCCAATGGTACCACTTTTGCGAAATTTTTATGTGCGGTGCTAATTAATTTTTATTTTAAATTGCTAAATATTATTTAGATAAATTTAATATGTTATTTTATAAGGAATAGCTTAAAATACAATTAAAAAATTTTTGATTTAATTTGTGGATACTACTGTTTTTGTTTTTGTCTTAGAGGTACAACATTATTTTTGGGAGCCACTGTATAGACATGATTGAATGTTGGATCTGATAGTTTTTTTTAAAATTGAAGAATGAAATGCAACAATATTTATATAAAAACATGGCATAAAAATATATTGCTTTTTTTAAAAATTTATTAACAGCTTAGTTATTTATTATAGGTGTAACAAAAACATTTTTTATCATGAAAAAGAACCCTGTGTCTGATCTTCCCTTGAAATTGATAGATTTTTATGCAAAGTCCAAAATAAGGTTGCTGTTTTGCTGAATTTTAAATGTTTTGTTGCACTTTGTATTAAAACATTGCATAGAATTATTTTTCATTTTTAAATTTCCAAATAAGTAGTAAAATTATTGTCTAGTTATAAATATGTAATATATAGAAGGGCCAAGGCAAACTGTATTTATTTATGATTTTAAATTCTGCAGTAAGCTTCTGGTTTAAAATCATTTTTACTTTTCTGCATAAAACTGTTAGAATTTTTTATGAAAAAATTTAAGTGTGTAATAAATTAAAAAATTGAAAATTGAAAATTTTAAATGTTTAGATAAATTCTGTATCCATTTTAAAAGAAATTCTACACGATGTCAGAAGATGAAATATCAGTTTCTCCAGAACCTTGTCGAATACCAGAAGAAAAGTTACTTCTTGTTTCAAGAACTGGAGATATTGAAGCTACTACTAAATTATTAAGCACGTATGCTGAAGGGAAAATATGTGTTGATATAAATTGCAAAGGTATGTATTACTTTTCTCAAAAGATGTGTTTATAAAGTATTGTTTCTGATTTCATACGAGTATGGGATTTAAGCATAGTACCAGGCAATAGTATTTGCTAAAAATAGGAAAAAGATATTTTATATGTTATTTGAACTAGAAAAAGAAAATAAACATATAAAATATGTATAAGAAAGTAAAAAACTAAAATATAGCACAAATTGACTTTTGATGTCTTTTTTTCATGTTTTCAAATTTTTATAATAATAAAACTTGCTTTAGATGAGGGAAACTCTGTTATTAAATACAAAAACAAACTTGAAAACAGGACAAGGAAAAAGAAACAATACTTTTGCTTAAATTACTCATTTGTATCTCTAGATGAATCATCAGTGGGGAGGGAAAGATTAATAGCTATATCCTTAATTTATTTTAAGGAATTATTTAAAAAAAATTTATATATATTCCAGAGGATGTGCAGTTAAACTATGTATGTACCGGTGTGGATGATAAAAATTTCTAAATACCGGAAGAATATTTATAGTCACTGCAGTATTTAATTCTACTCATTTTCTGTATTTCTCATAGAAATTTTGCTTTATAAAGATGGTTTTAATAGTAATTTTTCAATCGTTTTGCAACAAGCAGACTTAACTGTGTACGGATTTTCACACTTTTTGGTTGCAAAGTGTATGACTATTATTTTTTTATATATATTTTTTTCATCTACATTTATGACTATTCACATTTTTATCAACAATTTTTACAAAATACACGAATTTAAATTATATTTTGTGGTTTCATATAATATGGTGTATGCAATTTCTGTGGGTACCATTTGAAAGTTAAAAATGCACAATATTTTAATTCTTAGATGAATTTAATTTTTAACCAATTTAATGCAAAAAATTTTACATAAATTTTGCAGTAAAACAGAAAATATGAAATTTGTAAAAAAGAAATCTGTTTTGCTTTAACTTAAATTACAAACATATTAGAAAGATAAATATCTAAAATGGCCAATAGTTATAAATATTATAGATAGTTTATATTGACTTTGGAAATAAACCTAGTACTGTTATTTTTGCTTATTTATTATTATGCTAAGTTTTTTTACATGTGATAAGCTTTGAAGGTTGTCAAGATAGAAGAGAAACACGTCTCAAATAAATCATAAAAGTGAAGCAACAACCTATGCTAGGTGTAGATTTTTAGCATAGATCGATCGATCTATTGATTTCAAGTGCAAACACAGTCCGTCTCCATCAGGAGTAGATTACTTTTCTCCTGATGAAGAGGGACTTTACCCTTGAAATCAACCGATTCTATGCTAAAATTCTACACCTACAGGTTGTTGCTTCGCTTTTATGATTTGAAGGTTGTTCCGAAACATAATCTAGCTTGACACCCTGCACATCAAATGCAAGTATCTTTACATATTTTATTTTCATTTTTATATTTCTTGAAGAAACATGCAGCATATTGTCTTCCAGGTTCTTTTTTTACAGGATTTGGTTGTAGATGGCTGACAAAATCCTTTTCTACAATGTGAATACAGACCATGTTAGCATTACTGAAATGTTTTGATGAATAAATTTTAAGCTTTTATGCAAAATCTCAACAATGAAATTGATTCTGTAGAGCCATTTAGCATTGAAATAAGAACAATAAGACATTTTTACGTTGCAAAGATAAAGAGCAGGGTTCATACTGAAATCAAGGGGAAAATCTTTGCCCAACATTTTCGAGTGAACCGTCATAGCAGATGAACTTAATAATCCTGCTGAAATCATGGGAACCATACATGGATGATTAACCTTTATTTAGACAAGGCCCAATTACGAGGGTAAGTTGAAAAATAAGTTTCCCTAGTCGACTGTGGTCAGAGTTGTGTATTAAAGTAAAAAAATAGAATGAGACATTAAAGATATGACATACCTTTATTTTATTATTCTCGTACAAGTACGTTGAGACATTTGTCATATCGCTTGATAAGCTTCAAAAAGTCCTCCAAGAAAAATTCACGCTTTGCATATGCAAGAAGCGTTGAACGGCTATGGGCAAAAGGCAACACAGCAGGAAAACGTGCAAGTCACCGATACACCATTGGGTAGAGGTCGCTGCATATCAAGCAGATGGCGCTGTTGCAGTGCCTGTGCAAAGCGTAGACCAGCCTCTCATTTGAGCCCCGGTAGGTATGGAGAGAAGGTGCGTTTTGAATTCGTGGTCAAAGGAGGAAGTGAGAGTGGTTATCCGCAATGAATGGGCACGTGGAGTATCGGGAACAGAAATTCATAACCACCTCATGGAAGTCTATGGGCCAGGTGTGATGTCGAAGCAAATGGTGAGGAGATGGTGTCGCACATTCAGTGATGTACGTCAGCAAGTGGAGGACAAACCGAGAGCTAGACGGATGCGCACGGCCACTACAAATGCAAATGTCAGGAAGGTGGATGACATGATTAGAGCGAACCGGCGTTATCACCATCGATGAAGTAGCGGAAGAACTTGGAATCTCACATAAGTGAGCTCAAAACATCATCCACGACATTCTTCGATACAGAAAAGTGTCAGCACGATGGGTGCCCCGACAATTGACCTCGACACACAAGGAACAATGCATGGGAGTCAGCCTGGAACATCTCGTGCGTTACCATGAAGATGGCAATGACTTTCTGTTTCTGATTGTGACGGGGGATGAAACGTGGGTCCACCATTTCACGCCAGAATCGAAGGCCGCATCTTTGGAGTGGAAACATCCGTCATCACCTGTCCGAAAGAAGTTCAAGACAACTCCCTCTGCAGGTAAAGTGCTCCTCACGGTTTTCTGGGACGCCCAAGGAGTTTTGTTGCTGGACTTTTTGGAGGTTGGAACCATCAATGCTACGCGCTACTGTGACACCCTGTCGAAATTGAAAGAGGCGATTCAGAAAAAGCGGCCTGGCCTCCTCACATCTGGCATTCTGCTGTTGGAGACAATGCCAGACCACATTCGGCGACGGCAGCGCAAAACCATATTGCAACTCTTGGTTGGGAGCGCCTACACCATCCGCCATACAGTCCTGATCTCGCACCAAGTGACTTCCATCTGTTTCCGGCTTTGAAGAAAAATCTCGGGGGAAGGTGCTTTGGAAGCAATACTGAAGTGAATTAAGCCGTTCAACGCTTTCTTCCATATGAAAAAGCCCTGATTTTTTCCTGGAGGGCTTTTTGAAGCTTATCAAGCGATATGACAAATTTCTCAATGTACTTGGTACCTATGTGGAAAAATAAAGGTATGTCATATTTTTAATGTCTCATTCTAGTTTTTGACTTTCATACACAACTCTGACCACAGTCGACAGGGGAAACTTATTTTTCAACTTACCCTCATAATTAGAAGTTGACTGTAGTTTCAATAATAGTACCTGAACCTGTGTTGGAGAAGAGAAGTAAATACAGACATTTTTTGTGCAAATTAAAAAATTTCTGCATTGAACTTTTTTAGCACAGTTCAAATCCAAAATCTGGACTTCCTAACCCACTCCTTTTTTTGCAATATTTCTTTTCATTTACAAAACATAAGGAATGAAGAATGTGATACTGAATAAAAAAACAAGTATGCCATAACCTTTTATCCTAATAAGCTGAGATATCCTTTGCTTAAAAAATCTAAGGTCTAGAATCACTGAATTTATCTAACCTTTATAACTTATAACTTAGATAAGTATACCATACTCATTAAAATCGTTTCTGTTCCAAATATGTTATTTGATAAGCAACAGAGTTTAATAGATGTCAATTTGTATATTGTGGATTATACAGTACAAAGTCCAAAATCTGGACTCGTCGGGACTTTGGCAATTTCGGATTTAGGATTCTTCCAGATATTATATCATAAACTTAAATCTGGTAAGATGGCATGCAAAAATTATACAATTAAAAATATGAAATAAAGAACAATTATGATCTAAAGGATATCAAAATTTATAAAAAAAAAAAGCTTAATATGTATTTGTTTACTTTATTAAACATTTTTTTCAATGTAAGTTGCTTAAGTTTCTTCCACAAAAAATTCAAAATGTTCCTTTTTCTTTTTTCTTTTATCATATACGGTTGACTCCCATAATTTTTAGACGGATATGCCTTTATCCATTTTTTGTAGCAATTCTACTTTTTGTTTAATAGACATCGAAACATGGTTTTGCTTTGTAGATACTTTGGCAGCTCCAGAATTGGAAACTCTTTTCGACATAATTGAAAGTTCAAGCTTAGTTTTTGTAAAATTGCCATAATAATAACAGTCTGCAAAAAATAATAAGCTGGATCAAATTAGAAGATTAGGGAGCATCACAGTCTGCTACATAAACTGAAATACCTTAGATTCAGTCAAGATAATTTTAGCCTAGCTTAATAGTGTCCGTTATACATTATTGGTTGTGTGTCACAAGATTGGCGACGAAAGCCAAATTAGACTAGAATAGAAAGCCAAGTTGTTTCGCTAAATTTTGTCTTGCTCCTATTGCATACTGAATTAAGCCTAAATTGTATTAGTTATTTACTATACCTACATTTATTTCTTGCACATGCTTAAAAATAATTTAACTTCCTGAATAAATAAACTCCCATATGTACTTAAGGCTTTATCTAGGGCCAGTGCTAGATACTGCCTGGTGCAGTCTTTACAGGCCTTAAATTCTGCTACAAAGCGCCTTCCTAACTTCTCGCGCCTAAACTTTGGATTCCAGTGCTTTCCCTAAATCATAAAAAACTTCTCATCCCTTATTTTACCACTTGGCATTCCCCGAAATTCCAAAAATTTCGTCTTCCCTCAATTCTGCTGTTTGGTACCGACATATTCTGGGTTTATGGTGAATAACCTTAATTAAAATAACACTAAATGTAATCTTTTGGCCTATGAGTTTCATTAGTAAAATCTATTTTTAGCGTATGAAAAGAAATTTTTGTTGAATTTTTCCTCGTCAACATTTCTTAGAACAGTTAAAAACCTATAATCATCACCAAGCATAATGTTAGCATAAAAGGGTGCCATACTCTTGTTATTCAATTCCTAATATAAAAAAAAAAGTTTAGACAATTCTGGGTGAGTTATTACTGAAGTTGTCATGTATTGATAAACATGCTGGGATGAAAGCAAAATATAATAAATAATGACTCGCCAGGTTGGCATCAGGAATATAAAATAGATGAATGTTTCGGTTTGAGATGTATGCCAACGCAGCCACTCAGCTACAGAGCCAAATTATTAATCTCACAAATTTATGCTTACATGGATTGTTTTTCCATAACGAAGTATTTTATTTAGTGCCTAAGTGAAATTAAGAATCAGAAATTTTTAAGTGAAAATCTCCACATGTTTTATTAATGAAAGAAAAAATCAAATGTGCATGCGTAAAGCATACAAAAAAAAAAAAAAAAAAAAAAAAAAAATCTGTGGCTTTGAGGTCCAGATTTTAGATCAGTCCGGATTTGGAAATTTTAGAATGAAACACTTTTCATTCTTGGATCACAGAAAGGATTGCAAGATCTTCACTTTGATATTTGAATTTCAAAAGGACAAATTTAATATACTTAAAAAGATGTGTACTATGCTCATACCTGTGTTTTCATACAAGTATTCATTTATTTGTTAATATTGTGGGTCAACTAACTGACATTGTGGATCGTGCCTTTTTTGGTATGTGGCAACCCAAAATGTTTACTGTATTGAGTCATTAATACTTTTTCATGAATTTTCAGTCAGCATGTTATTCACATGCACAGTATATGGGAAAGTAGTATTTTATGTTCATTTTCAGTTTTAATCCTGAGTCACATGTATGTAATCAAAGGTTCACATGTGACTAACAAACTACAGTCTGCTGACAGAAGTCTGAATTTAGGATGGTGGATGATATTCTTTTCAGTAGATGGTACTATCACAAGTTTTCTTCATTGTCGATCATTGATGTTAACTGTATATGGGGTTGTTGAATTTGTATCACATGTCACAGTGCCTTTTTCTCGGCTTTTATTACTGAGATTTTACTTGTGTTATTCGTTTGTGTTTCAAATTTCAGAATTATTTTTTATTTTTTGAAGATTAGCTCCTTTTACTAAATCCTCCAGAGAAAAGCATTTCTCCTGTTAGGTAGATGATAGTCTTTCCAGTATGAATATATACATTCCAGTCTTTAATTATTTATCAAATTTTCTAATGTAATGTACTTAGGGCTGTATTAGTTTAAGAAAACTCAACCTGTTGAAACTGAAATTATACTTTACAGTTCGATCTTGTTATATGACTGTTATTTTCAAAAGATGTATTTAAGAAATACAAATATATATTTTTTTCATCCCAATGGCAGATTGTTAAAAGTTTCAGTGTAACACAGTCCATTAATTTATACAAGGCCAGATGTGGTGGTCTCTTTATTATGGAGGCACCTAATAGGTAGGCCACCATCACCTCCTATGAAGGGACGGACAGTTACAACCATGCCTTCTCCGGGATTCGAACCCAGGCCCTTCAGTATCTCAGTCAGCCTTCCCTACCCACTATACTGTCTGGGCAGCACAAGCATATTTTAAACTGAATTATACAGGGAATCAAAATTTTTATTTTTAATTAGCTACTTCTTCCAAACATTTATTTAAGAAGAATTAGCATAAAGCTTATTATTAGGAAATTAGTATAAAATTCATTATAAGGAAGAAACATGTGTAAATGATTGCCTTTAATTTATAAGAAAAAAAGATTTCTCACTTCTTATAACAGTATACAAATACAAATTTGTTTTTAACTCTGAAGTTTATGAGGTTGCTTGTAAATGCTATTACATTAATTTAAAATATAATAGCATTTACAATTTATTATAAGTTTTGATAATTTTGGTGCATTTTGAAAATTTTATCAGCATTGTGAATTTTTTAATTTTCTGTTTGAATTTTAATAGGAGAACAAAAAAGTAACCATGGCTGGACTCCTCTTCACCTTGCTTCTTATTTTGGACACGAAAAAATTGCTGATCTTCTAATCAAAGTAAATTTACATTGATTTTTTAATTAAATATTATTGTTTAATAAATTACCTTCTTTTTTAAATAAAATATTTTATGTTTGTCAAGCTTTAAAAATATTGATCTCTGTATTCTTCTTGATATAATGTATATAACCCTTTGTAAATTGATGGCATGTATGTGAATCTGGTATAAATACAGATGCATGCAATATAAATCAGAATTCATATGGTTGCTAAAGAGACTTTGGTTTTTTTTAAATAATTTTTGGTGGAGAAATGTCCTCAGTTTTGGTTAAAATTTGCAAGCAACCCTTAGTTTGCAAGCAGTCCAAAGTATATTAAAATTACATTTTAAGGGAAGGGGGTATTAAAATATTTTTATTTCTTTCCAGCTTTATCCTTTATTTTGGTAATTTATTTATTTGAATAGCTTGATTTAAAGTTTAGTTAAGTTAATAAATGTTACAAAGCACAGCTTCCAAATTACATTTTAACAAAAGTAAAAATGCTATTGTAATTATATATTAAAATTAATTTTAGTTGTCTAATTTTTCTAAGTGTTTTCCTGTGTAACTCTCAAAATATTCTGATATAGATTAGCTTTATCTGTAAAATTCATTTTTCATCCCCTTTTCCCCCTGAATTTTTCAAAAATCTTCATATTGCAAAGCTGTCTGATGTTTTAATAGTTAAAAAGTCCAGAGAAAGTGTGTGACAAGAGGAAAAATGTATTAATGGTGTTAGCATAAAATCAATGAAGATTACAGGAAAATAGTGATAAGTTTCTTATTTTGAGTTTTATCTTTTAATTGCTTTTTGTAAAAAGCAACAAAAATAGAGTTATTTGAATTTTCTGTGGTATCTTCATATTGTTATGGCTTCCATTATTTGAACAGCACCAAGAGCCCCTATAAGATAAGAGCCCTTAAGTGCCATGAGCTTAGGCACTATGCCAATGTGGCAACTGTTCTCAGAGCTTTTCTAGTGATTGGCAGAACTGTAAGTGATTATGGTTAAGATTATCAGCTGTTTGGTCACAGTTTTTTAAAATGGTTAAGCTTACTATCACAACAGACTCATAAGATATTCACCTCTTCACTTTTGTTTTATATAACCACAATTCTCAGTAAGCCAGAGACAGATTTTCCTGTAAAGAGAAATGTAAGTAATTGTTATTTCTTTGCCTTTTTCATGTTTGTGGTTAAATTTTTTTAATCCACTTTTTACAAACATCAAACGATGGCATATTTTCAGAATTACAGTACTGTTTATATTGGTGCACATACTCGCACTGAAAAATTTTGGAGTCCAGTAAAATTTGTCAAACTCTATTTAGATTTGTATTTAAGGGAATGTTTGTTGCACTTAGTTTACAATGAAGATTTTGTTGCTTTTATATGCCATCTGAAAATTTTGGTTGTTGTAATGATTGGCATAAGTTTTAATGAATCTATTTGTCAAAGTTTTAGCTTCTTTTATTCAAGATTTTATGTACTGTATCTGTAACTGGTATCTCTTAATAATCTTATTAAATAAAGAGCAGTCTATGATTATCTAACTAGTAATGAATGATCTATTGCTTCAAATTTCTGCCAAAATGATTAGCGTAGGTTGGATGAAATCTCTACCAAGTACCATCTAGATATTAATATATCACCATATTTTACTAAAATTTCATTCAAGCTTCAATAGTTTTAAAAGTTTAAAAAGGAAAGAAGTTTTAAAAGGGGGTTACTTACTGTAGAGTTAAAAAGTGTAGGTTATTAGAATACTTACAAAGAAACATTAAAAAAAGAATTGATATGTAGAAAATAATCTACACAGTCCAGTCACATTAATGTGACCATCTGTCAAAAGCCAGAATAACCACCTTTCGCAGAGCGGACTGCTGCGAGACGTGCAGGAAGAGAGTCACATAGGTCCCTGAAGGTGTTCTCTGGGATGTTGAGCCATGCCAACTCTAATGCCGTGGCCAGCTGCGCTAGATTACACGGTTGAGGATCCATGGCGCGAACAACTCGATCGAGATGGTCCCACAGATGCTCGATTGGGTTTAAGTCAGGTGAGTTTGCTGGCCAGGGGAGGACGGTAAAACTCATCCTGGTGCTCTTCGAACCACGCACGTACACTGGCAGCTGTATGGCACCTCGCATTGTCCTGCTGGAAGATGCCATCATCCTGAGGAAAAACAATGCGCATGTAGGGGTGAACATGGTCCACAAGGACAGATGCGTACTTGTATTGATCCATTGTGCCTTCCACAATGATCAGTGAACCTAGAGAATGCCAGGAAAACATTCCCCAGACCATAATGCTCCCGCCTCCAGCTTGGACCGTTCCGGCAATGGTTGCAGGGTGGTTCCTTTCAGAGGTTTCACGCCTTATACGCCAACGTCCATCTGTCCGACGGAGCATAAAACGCGATTCATCCGAAAACGCAACCTGTCGCCACTCAGTGGACGTCCAGCTGCTGTACTGGCGTGCAAATTCTAGCCTTCGCCGTCGATGAACAGCAGTCAGCATAGGTGCAGGAACCAGGCGTCTGCTTCGGAGGCCCAGACGCAGCAATGTTCGCTGAATAGTACTTTGGGAGACACTTTTGGTAGCCCCTTGGTTCATTTTGGTGGTCAGTTGCTCAACGGTAGCCCGTCTGTCTGCCCGAAGGCATCTCCGCAACTGTCGTTCACCTCTGTCATCTATGGCCCGTGGTGCACCACATTTGCCACGTCGCTGATTTTGGACAGTCCCATTTTGCCATGCACGGTACACTTTTACCACGGCGGCACGCGAACAGTTCACAAACTCAGCCGTTTCAGAAATGCTTCCACCCTTGGCCCAAAAGCCAATGATCATGCCCTTTTGGAAGTCAGATAAATCGCTTCGTTTCTGCATTACGCCAATGATTTGAAATGTTTTCCGAAGCCCTCACACACCCTTTATATACGCTCAACTGCACTGTGCTGCCACCTGCCTTCTGTGATTGGTTATTTAACTCTGACATGGAAAGTACGTGGTGGTCACATTAATGTGACTGGACTGTGTAAAACAATATACATCTGACAAACATGCATAAAATAAATCTATGTGTAGAAAAATATATGTTATCTTATTAGATATTGTAATTTTATTGAATGAAGGATGGATAATTATTTCATTTGCATTTAACATTTGTTATTATGTAGTAATTATTTTTTGTGCCCCTAGTTCTGAAATCATAGAGAAAAATAATAATATTTCTCTAAAATAAAAGTTATTTTAATATTTTACAGTTATTCATTGTAAACTGAAATATTCTTTTATTGAGAAAAGTTATAACAATATCTTTCTGTTAACCCTTAGCGCTCCGCACGTTTTTGAAAAATTGCCTACCAGCAACTCTGGCACATTTTCGCAGGATCCGGCGTTTTTAAATGCAGCATCCAGAATATCTGCATAAATCTCTTTCTTGTAAATATTGTACCAAACAAAGGGATGTGTCTATTCTCCTTAACTGACCAATAATCCTGCATATTCGCCAGGGGTATCATACCCAATTTGATAATAACTCCAATAAAAGCCCAAAACTCATTTTCTTCCACTGCACGCCATGTTTTCCAAATAGAATTACTAGATATTTCTTTATTCTTTAGAACGTTTTCAGCGTAATTGTTGGTTTCTTTTATAATTTCATTTACCAGTTCGTTTGTGAAAAATAATTTGAAATATTGTGTCGGCTGTACAATATTTGTAGGAATTTGTGGTCCAATGACCTTTGGTGATACACTAAAATGTATTCTATTCGGAATATCTAATTCTTCCATGACATCATGTCATTCATCTAAGTCTTCCGGCGACTCTTCGCTTTCACTTTCAATAACTACCATTCGTCATCTCTTTGGTAGTATAATTTCAGAACCACTACTTGAAGTATCAGAATTATAATCAACATTGTCTTCCACAATATCTTCTAACAATGAAATATCAAACACATATTCACTATCAATCAACTCTATATTCTCATCACAATAATTATTTTTCTCCATGTTGCTAACCATAAAATGGGTCAAATAATGTTTCAATTGGAACAGTAGCTAGACTGAGCATGTTTTAACTACAGATAACAATTGCCAACGCCGACGATTTCGTAACATCTTAAGCCTAATCATGCTAAAAACATTGGGCTCCGTAACGGAGAGCTAAGGGTTGATATGCAAAACCACATACAGTATCAAGTCCGTAATCCGGACTCGTCGGGTTTTCGGCGTTTCCGGATACGGACTATAATCCAGATTATAAATCATCAATTTAAATCTGGTAAGATAGCATGCAGAAATTATACAATTAAAAATATGAAACCATAATTTATGAAATAAAGAGCAATTATGATCTAAAAGGTAACAAAATGTACAAAAAAAAAAAAAAAAAAAAAGCTTAATTAAACTTTATTAAACATTTCTTTCACTGCAAGTTGTTTAAGTTGCTTCATTTTTTGTGCTAATACTTTCTCTTTATTTCTATAAACAGACATAATTTCTTGTTCAGTTACAAAGTTCCTCTGTTGAAGTCCTGTAATTGCTGTGTCGAAAATACCGAATAACTTGTCAATCGAAATTTTTTCGTTTTCAATAATCTTCTTTCTTTACTATTGGAAGTGCACATGGGTAAACACTTTACGCGCATGCGTAAACGCATTACGCGGATGCGTAAGTTTGTGGCTTTGAGGTTCGGATTATAGATCATTCCGGATAATGGACGTCCGGGTTACGGACTTTGTACTGTATCACTTTATAAAACATAGATCTTTCCAATTAAAAGTATACGTTTCTGTCAGAGGCATTTCTTAATAATAGTATTTTTTTTCATATACATATAAGTTACCGTGCCCTTATAATATGTGTAGTATATTTTCATCTTAAAAATATCCATGACTATTTTTAAAACATATCTATCATATGGGTCTGGTAAACTCGCCAGTGTGGCCTGGCTCATATGACTGGCAACTATTTTTACAATCACATTTATCTTAATGACACTGCAAGCTGTATTTCTGCAAAAACATGCTAACTTTTTGAATGTTTGAAGACTATTGGGCTGCCCAACAGAGTCTAATGGCTGAAAAGCTAAGGTCCACCATAGGATTAAAAAAATACTAACATTGGGTGATTTCTTTGCATTTGTACATTTTTAATTCCTTGAAGTAAAGGAAGTATTGAAATTGCAAAAATTTTCGGGTATCATATTTCAATAAAAATATCAATTTTGACCGCAATTGAATACAATTTAACAATGTTTTTGCGTGACCGAAAAATCTGCCTTCTTGCCAAAATTATTATTATTATTATTATTATATTTTTTTTTTTTTTTTTTTGGGCATAGAAACTTTAATTTTAATTGCAAAAATTTTTTAAAAATTCTTTTAATTGTATTTAGTATATTTTTCAATTTTTGATAAACATGTTTTGTGGTTTTATGTATTTTTGCCTTACCAAAGGGAGAACTTAATTAATTGAATGAGAACTATATCTCTAATGAAATTTGAGGAAATAAGCTTAAATTAAATGCAGTAAAAATGCATATAATTTAATATTCCATGCAAGGAAGTCATGTCGTGTACACATAAGATTTTTATTGAATATTAAACCAATTTATTTGCATTTTTAAGTTGAAAAATATTAATGCATCAATTAAATTGTGAAATATTAATGCATCAATTAAATTTCATTTTTGTGTCATCTATCTATATATGGTTAAGCAGTTTGTTTTAATCATTTAAAAATCATGAAAACAATTATTTCATCATTGGATATCCCATCTTCCAGCAAAGGTAATCATCTAAGAATCTTTCAAATAAATACGACATTTTTTAAACAGTAAAGTAAAAATTTTCATTTAGCAATCAAAACAAATGCTCTCAGGGCTCCGAGTATGAAAAATTCTCCACAGTTCTATCATTAAAAAGGAATTTTGTATAAAAATTGTATACAAAAACTTCCATTATGAAACCCAAGAATTTGTTTTATTTTAATAACAATAATGTTAGTAATAAATTCAAGCTGATATTTATTATACATTCATAGTTACCAATAGTTTTATTGTAATTAATTTTTCTTATCTTTTGTATATACTGTGTAGTATGGAGCTGATGTAAATGTCCTGAATGACACTGGAGACACGCCTTTGCATAAAGCTGCATATACTGGTCGAGAGGTATGAAGATTATGCATTTATATATGTTATTGAACTTGGTATATTTCTTGATATCATTTGTTGACTTGTTTACTTTTAAAGATGTGTGAAAATTATTATATTGTTATATATTGCATTGAAATACCCTTGAAGTTGCAATGTGATGTGATGCAATATCCTTGCAATGTGATGACATGTGATGCAATATCCTTGCTTTTAAAATTTTAAAAATATAATACAGTACAAAGTCTTTAATCCAGACGCATCGGGTCTTTTGCGATACCGGATTAGGGGTTTTTCCGGATTATAGATCATCAGTTTGAATCTGATAAGAAGGTATGCAGAAATTATAAAATTAAAAATATGAAACCGTAATTTATGAAATAAAGAACAATTATGAACTAAAGGGTATCAAAATTTACAAAAAAAAAAAAATAAGCTTAATATTTATTTGTTTACTTTATTAAACATTTCTTTTTACGCACGCATGCGCAAAGCATACATTACGCATAGTCGAAATTAGAAAATTGCAACCAGAAAACTATTTGATGTGTATTCGTGATATTTATAAGGACGAAGAATTTAATTTAAATCATATCAAAGGCAGGGTACATCGAGATGAAATACTACATTTAGTAAGGAATTATAAGCTAAATAAAATAAAAACATTTGTCCTGAAGATGAGGATAGTGCTGACAGATTAACTTCCAGTTCATTGTGCGCCGCAACGTCAACCCCCCCCCCCCCCCGCAGAGCAGCGTGAAATTGATAAACAGATTTCGGAATTGTTAGAGAAACAAAGGATATGCCTTTATCCATTTTTTACAGCAATTCCACTTTTTGTTTGATGGACATCGAAACATGCTTTCACTTTGTAGCTCCTTTGGCAGCTCCAGAATCGGAAACTCTTTTTGACATAATCGAAAGTTCAAGCTTACTTTTTATAAAATTGCTCTAATGGTCTGCAAAAAATAATAAGCCGGATCCAATTAGAAAATTAAGGAACAATGGAATCTGCAACATTAACTGAAATTGATAATTAGATAATTTTAGCCTAGCTTATACCGTCCATCATACATTAAACGTGCATGTGTAAACGTATTATGCACATGCGTAAAGGTATTTATGCGCATGCATAAATGCACTATGCATTTACGCATGCGCAGAAAGTTTGTAGCTTTGAGGTCCGTATTGTAGATCATTTCGGATTATGGACGTCCAAATTAAAGACTTTGTAGGGTAGATAGAATTCATAATAGAACACAGTTAGTTGTCCTTGTGATCAACTGCGTTTCATAAATGTGATTGATATGTGCATTTATCTTCACTATTATGTGATATTTGCATGTTCTTTTTAAGACTCCAATTTATAGGAATTACTTAATAAAAACAGTCTGAGGCCTTCTTTTGTTATTATATTTTTCTTTTGATAGGTTAAAGCAATGGGAAGGAAATTATATGATAGTAAATTATTGCATTAAATTTAATGTTAAGCAATCAGAATTTACCAGTTAATTTATATCAATAGAGCTAATCTGCCTTAAGAAATTATGCGTAGTTGCAAAAATGATTTGTTAGTTGCTGTCAAGTTGATTAAAGAATCAAAATAATCTATAAGCTGCTACATCAAGTCTAAGAGTTTGAAGGAATTTCCTAGTAAAATATTTTTTTCAGAAGCCAGATCTGTATTTTAACACATTGACTGCCACGGCTTTTTTCTTTTTGGATTCCAGTCTGAGAAGTCAAATCGATTTAATCATATTATATTATTAAAAATACTAATTGTGTTTCATAACAATCATTAAAAAGTTTACAGTATGGTGGTTTTTTTTTTTTTTTTTTTTTTTTTTTTTTTTTTTTTTTTAAAAAGGAAAAAGGGTTCTACAAATTATCTTGTAGTTGGCTTTTGTTAGACAAAGCTCTTCACAGAAGCCCACTATAAGTTGATTCTTACAGACATACTTCGACTTGTCACCTTGGTTTAGGTAAAACAAGAGCTAAATGAGTAACTCTTAGCGGCGCCGAAGTGGCAATTCAAGAAACTATGGGATAACTCATATTGGGCATCCTGAAGAAGAGTGCTAATACAAGTTATCTCGTGTTGGGCAGTCAACGTGTTAAATTCAATCAGATTTCAGTCCATTACTGTAATAATTAAAATATATATATATATAACTCATAAAAAAACTATCAGAAAATGACTTCAAGCATTGTGACCAGCAGTGGAATAATAATATGGAATGACGCAGAGATCAGGAAGGGCATTATATTAAAAGGAATAATATTTCTGCTTTGTAATTTTTGAATAAAAATTGTAATAGTCCTTTTATTTTATAGCCATATAAAATAAAAGGTAACCGCGATATCTAATATTATATATATATATATATATATATACACTGTATACATACGTACATACAGGATGGTCATCACAAAACTTCTGCGATATGTGAATCCCTAGCAGTTTATCTGTTCAACCAATCAAAATGAAATTTCAGATATTGTTATTTGAAGGTATGCATTTGAGATTGTAATGACTTAAAACAGTATAGCTGTCACAGTTATAACTATAGGGGAAAAATTTTGAACTTTTGAATGGCAACACCCACTTGTTTTTCAAGCACAAATTGATCAGTGTATTGAAAAACCGTAAATGGCATTGGAGCAATACATGTAGGATAAAAATTGCTGGTGTAAAGCATTTGCAAAGAAGAGAGCATTGTAAAGGACCAATGATAGCACAAGCCAGGAGAGGGAAAAAACTTTTATCGCAATTACAATCTTTCAATGTGCTCACCTTTGCAGATGATAACACATTGCATGCGGAAGATTGCTAACAACAATGAGGAATGTAATATTACAGGAGGAATCTGTATAACTTCATGTTTTATGACATCTTTCAATAATTGCAAATCTCATGGATTTGATATGTACATCTTAGATTTCAGGTAACCTGAGAACCAGAAATCCCTTGAGTGAGGTCGAAGGGATAATGGTAACCATGAAACTGCAAAGTTGTGGGAGGTAATTCTGTCTTTGAAGTGCTGTTGCAGCACTTGCCGAACACATGTCAGTGTGTTGAGAAGCAACATCTTGCATCTGTACCATGTCATTAAAAAGATTTCACTGCTGCAGTTCTAGAATTATGTAAATCTGCAACATTGTTGTATGCCAACCACATGCGGTGGAGCACATTTTCATACCTGTGGAATGCAGTTCTTGGAGTTAAAATTTCTAGTTAAAGAGAAATGAACATCATCTGTCCATAATATCCATAGTGGCCATCTGATATTCATCATATATGATGAGGGAAAAGTTTGCAAAGTCAGTATACTGTCACTTGTCTCTAGGTTGCAACATTTGGATGTGCTGGAATTAGTAAATGAACAGAGTACAGAAAATTAAAGACTGTGGTTTTTAGTATATCTGAACTGCAGCAACACTTCTTCCATTATGCAATGGGCCTGAATTAAACGTATTGTGCACTTTTGCAATAACTTCAACAGGAATACAAGGTCATCCAGATCACATTCACATGTGCAATCAATTTCTTCAAATTTTTTTTACCAAATCATAAACAGTTTTTTCTGACATGGGCCTCATTTTAGCTTATGATTTTACCAATAAACTCGCACTGCTATGGCAGCATTTCCCCCATTCAGATGAATCACTAAGTATCATTTTGTTAGCACAGTCAAGCACCTGACTGAAGAAACAGTCTTTTCTTACTGCTTATTAAAGATTTTCCACAAGAAATGCTTTTCACATTGTGTTCTGTGATTGGTGCTTCTACTGCATATCCCTGTGAATTATGTAAAAGTGCACCACTGCACCTCTTCTTTGTCATTGGCCCTTTGCAATGCTTCTCTTTGTAAATATTTTACACTGACAGTTTTAATCGTATGTATATCATTCCAATGCCATTTTATGGTTTTGCAATACATTGATAAATTTATGGTTGAAAAAAATAGGTGTTACCATACAAAACTTTCAAAATGTTTTCACTGTAACCATAACCATGAGAGTTCTATATTATTTTACATCATTGCAATCCTGCCTTCAAACTAAAATTTCATTTTGATTGGTTGAGCCACTAGGGACCACTAGGGGCTCATATATCAGGGAAGTTTTTTTATGACCACACTATATGTATGTATGTATATATGTTACTGTGAAAGACCGAAATTGGAGAATGTCGACTTTCTCCAGAGAATCTCAGCATTCACCAAATACGTCGGTGAAAGATCGAATATTGCATTACATTCTTGCGCATTCAGACCCTCACCGGTGTATGTTGACAATCACAGATATGCTCTCTGGTGTAGGTCGAAAAGAGAGGAGTATATGTACACGCTGTCATTGCAAAAGGAATTGTTCCACAAATAAGTTGCAATTTTAAAAGCAAGGGCCTCTTGTGCAATTCAAAGTGTCATAATAGTCTAAATTGTTGAAATAAATAAGATTTGAATAGAACTGCTCTTATATGCACCCTCAGGTCGCCAAATTTCTTTCCAAACATTTTTGGCGAGAAACTCCACGCCGCCATATTACTACCTGCATTTTTTGTCTACATTTCGAATTTTAAGCCTAAAATTCATATATCAGGGAAGTTTTTTTATGACCACACTATATGTATGTATGTATATATGTTACTGTGAAAGACCAAAATTGGAGAATGTCGTCTTTCTCCAGAGAATCTCAGCATTCACCAAATACGTCGGTGAAAGATCGAATATTGCATTACATTCTTGCGCATTCAGACCCTCACCGGTGTATGTTGACAATCACAGATATGCTCTCTGGTGTAGGTCGAAAAGAGAGGAGTATATGTACACGCTGTCATTGCAAAAGGAATTGTTCCACAAATAAGTTGCAATTTTAAAAGCAAGGGCCTCTTGTGCAATTCAAAGTGTCATAATAGTCTAAATTGTTGAAATAAATAAGATTTGAATAGAACTACTCTTATATGCATCCTCAGGTCGCCAAATTTCTTTCCAAACATTTTTGGCGAGAAACTCCACGCCGCCATATTACTACCTGCATTTTTTGTCTACATTTCGAATTTTAAGCCTAAAATGTCTCCAAAAACGCGGTTAACCACATTTTGAAGACACAATTTAAGCTAAAAATCTGAAACAAAAACAAAAAATTTAGATAGCCAAAACATAAAGTTTCTAACCAAAAATATTTGACAAGAATCCATGTACACAGCGATACTTTTTAACTTAAAAAAAAAAAAAAACTACTAATTGCACATCATTCTAGGCAACGAAGGAATGTATGAACTACACACTCCTCGCTTCAATAAAATAACATAACAACAGTGGCGGCTCGTAATAAGCACTGTGGAACTGCAGCACCCCTTATTTCCACTTATTATTATTTTTAATATTTAATATAGTGTGCCCTTTAGTCTTTAATTCTTTCTTTATACTTTTACAATACATAATCCTTAAGCTTAATGTCAGTTGCCATCCCCTACTTTGTGAAAAAGGTACGAAATTCTTTGTTTGGAACTGCGTGCTTCACAGTTCCAGCGACGTGGTGTTTGGCTGTTCTGCGCATGCGCGCACAGAAAGCAGCACGCAATCCGGGTAGCGAGAAGAGCACTGTCGCTCTTGCAGTGCCGAAATTCTGGCATGTTGTTGGAAACGTGATTTCTTTTTACTCCGCGCGTGTGTGGTATTCCTCCACAAGGTGGAACTTCATCATACGGACCATAAACAGAGTTCATGAAAATTTGCAACCTTTAAAGAATTGCCTTACTGAAATTCAATAAAAATCAAATGCAGATCAAACTATTGCAAATGCAACAGGAAATTAAAAAAAAAAAAAAAAAAAAAAAAAACGATATGATAATAATTTCAAGTTTTGGTTAGAGCTTTTTTATCAGATGCGTCATGTTGAAATAATATACAACTAAATGCAATCCAGAGAAATTAGTGTGTTGTTTAAAGTTAACGAATACATAACAAATTTCAAAACTGCTATTTTAGAATTAAGAAACTCAAAGTACTGTAAGAATTTTTCAAAGATACTGATGAAAGAAGCTAAGGAAATATGTGACTTTATACTATGTATTGATATAATGCACAGGTATTCTTCCACTAAACACTTAGCAGCTGCTAAATTGTTAAACAAGAAATGCTTCGCTAGTTTTAGGAATGACCATTCTACAGAAGAAATAGTACTGACCACTGAAGCATATTTAATGATTGACAAAGGAAAGCTTGAAACTGAACTAAAAAACTGAACTAAACTATCAGACCTACATAATTCTATTGTAGGTCTGATATCCATGAATAGTGCAAATTAATTGAGCTACTGAAATTTATCTTCGAAAATAATCTAGATGATGTTCTTAGTGAAATTACGAAACAGATAAAAATTCTCTTGAGAGTTCCCATGACTACATCAGAGGCAGAACGCTGCTTTTCAACATTTAAAAGAATGAAAAACTTTTCTAAGAAGCACTAGGAATTCGGAAAGACTAAATGCGCTTGCATTGATTTCAATAAAGAAAAATTTCCTCAGTTGTCATCCAGATATCAAGGAGAAAATTATTGATCTTTTCATATAAATTAAAACAAGAAGAATGGATTTTTATTTTTAAATGAATAGGAAAAGATTGAACTGTAACAATTTTGATTAAAGTAATTAAGAAATGTTTAATTTTTTTCTTGTAAGATTTCATGAAGTTTCAAAATAAATTTTCTTTTTATACATGTTTATTTCCTTTTAAACAATTTTAAAACAAAGGTTAAATTTTTTTAGAACAGCACCCCCACTAATTTTAGCCACGAGCCGCCACTGCATAACAACAATAAATTTCAAAGAATACCATGTACACAGCATTCTGTTTAAACTTAAAAAAAATCTATGAATTGCACAATCTAGGCATTGTGCACAAATCAACCAAATAAACTAAACTCAATTACAAACAATTCAAAAAACAACAAAAACAGAAATTCATAGTAAAACAATGAACATAACATTTTACAAAATAAAAACAGTAAAATAAAATGCACTTACCATAATACATTCCTGAATAAAATTTCACCAGTCACACAATATCTCTGAACAAAAGTGCCACAATTTTGCTATATCACATGCCTTTCTGAGATTCAGAATTTCCAAAGTAACGATAAAACTTCCTCCAAAGTTAACTTACTACACGAAAACCATGATCCAAATTTTAAACTCTGCTGACAGCCACGTACTTTAAGTACAAATGGGTCTTTTTAGTCAAATGGGTACTTTACCAGCAATAATTTGACTGCAAATCCACACAAGAACTTTCAGAAACACCTTTCTTCTTCTGAGTTCTCATAGCAGCTCCGCATTTTGGACTATGTTTTAAAAGTCCCACAGAAATTCCAAAAATACACTTCAATCCTCATAAACACACCCATGAACAAAAGACTCGTTAACAACTCCAACATTGTACCTTTTCATACTAAATTAACTTCCCACATGATCTAAAATACGCAACTGAAATCTTGCCACCATGTCTATCATTGTAACATAAGCCATTTCAAAACACGCACGACACGAACCAACGAGCAATTAAACCACTCCAGCACAAGATTTTTCACTGTCAACGGGGTTGCCATACAGCACGCAGTTGTGCCAAAAACCAGCGCAGAACACATATCACCACATTTGGTAATATTAGGGCGCATATAAGAGTAGAGCCATTTGAATCACATAATTTAGTAAGTTTTTAACTTCTATTATTTTCCTTTCTCATTTTGAATGTACTGTGTGTTTTAAGTTCTTATGTTCTTATTTTAAGTCTCAAGTGTGTTTTTTCGCGACTGAATTATGGAGAAGAAAATATAATATTCTCATATGTTCAACATTCACTATTAGTACATGGCGAATGTTGACATTTACTGATGTAAGTCAGAAATAAGAGTATTTGTAAAATATTTCGGACATACACCAATCGACTATGTGAAGGTTGACATTCACCGGTGAAAGTCGACATTCTCCAGATTTTGGCGTTTCATTGTAACATATATATGTGTGCCTTTTTGGAAGGAAATGTATTGAGAATTCTATTGATGGTACATTATATCATTAATGTTGTTTTTAAAGATAAATACATAAAAGGCTTAACATATTTCATTTTAGGAACTGGTATTATTATTGTTATCAAAAAATGCTGATGTATTTATAAGAAATAGTGAAGGTCAGACTGCCAGAGATATTAGCAAGAATGAAGATATCTGGAAGCTATTAAAAGGTTTATTTGTTAAAATATGTTATTAATTTTTTACAGTTTTTCAATAAACTCAAATAAAAAAAAGATATTTCTAAATCGAAAATAACAATTTTTTTCAATGTCGCTGATTACTTGAAAAAACATTGATTTTTTACATTTTTTGGAACTAATTAACTAAGTAATGGGAAGTCTAAAGCGCAATATGTATGCAGAATTTTACATAAATTAAATTTCTGTTTTAATTAATTCTTATGCAAAACATTGTGAATTTTAGCTGCTGAAGTTGTAGATATTGAAAAGAAAAACTCATTGCTTTTGCATGCGGCACGAGAAGGTGATACACATGTTATTGAAAATCTAGTAAGTAATATTCTTAAATTATTAAAAATAAGTTTTTTTGATATATGCAATAGTAAAAAATACACCTTTAAGACTTATTTAAAACTTAGAATTCAAAGAAATAAAGCTGAGTAATAAGAGTTTAATAAAATCTGTTATTTTCCTCTTTTAAAGTATACAAAATTCTCATTTTAAGAGAAAATAAAATGTTTTGAGAAACACAGAACAGAAACATGAAAAGTGATTACAATTTATATTTCAGTTCTAGCAGTTTTTCCTTTTCAAATTTACTTACTTAGTAATTGATATTTAAGGGCATATTGTTATGTTGAGGGGAAATATGATTATTTTTCTATAGTTGTCAAAATATAGGTGTATGAAGTATAACAATGTTAACCTTCAGGAACTGTTGGTCATTTTAATTTAGAAATCATTTCATGTAATAGAAATAAAACTTATCAAATAAATTTAGAAATCATTTCATATAATAGAAATAAAACTTATTAAAGGAAATAGTGCACAGAAATGCTGAAACTGAAGTACTTGTTTAACGCTGTATTTATATTATTGAAGTATTTTGTTGAAACATCAATCATTGCTTACGTTGTACAAATATATGAATTTCATAACTGTATTCCACAATTTTATAATTGCTCAACAAAAATATTTGCTTAAAATATAAAAATTGTATATTTTTCAGTATCATTAGTTTGAAAAAAGTTTTGGTACTAGTACTTTTATATTTCCTGTGAATAAAATGATTCTGTGCGGACTGGAGGCCATCAGTTAAGCAGCTGTACCGCCGTTATGACTTTTCAGCTTTCTTGGTTAACTGATGAAACCATCTACCATCTGCTATATTTATTAATGAATTAAAAAAAATATACATGAATAATAAGGACATAAAGTTGTAATATAGTAATTGTCTTAAACATAAAATTTGAAAATTTGTAAAAATAAAAATTAAATAAAGAAATTAAAAATAATGACAATAGAGAAGTATTAGGTGAATTTTAAAAAAGCAAAAGTCAAGAAGTCTTTAGTCTATAGTCAAGAATTAATAATAAAAGGTATATGGAAAGTCTGAATTTGAAGTGTTTGATGAAACTAGTCTTTTAGTCTCAAATAAATGAAGTCTTTGATAATCATAATTTTTGACAGTATTGGAACTATGCACTGCTTGATGAAGAAGACGGACTGAGAAGATGGAAGGAGATGATGTTGTCTAACAAATAAAGTACATGGTAGTTGATGATGATATATATATACAGTGGTGGCCAAAATTGTGGACACTTTGGAAATTTTTATGTTTTTGAACTTTGTATGCTTATAGAAAATGTTACGTTTCACAAAATGCAAACTTGTATATATCATTTTAAAGAGAATTTATTACTGAATTCAATATGAAACACAAAATTCAATTATTTGCAATGAAAAAAAGTTAAACGATAATGGTTATCGATATACATTAGATAGTGATGATTGCAGTGAGTTATCAGTACTTAGTAGGCTACCCTTTATTTTTGATTACAGCTTCACATCGACGTTTCATTGAGCTGACAAGAGTTTTAAGCTATTCTTTCGTTATTACATGATGCCAGGAAACAATTATAGCCTCAATTAGTTCCCTTTTATTTGATGGGCGCCTCATTCGGACAAGAGTTTTCAAACGGTGCCAAATGTTTTCGATAAGATTGAGGTCAGGACTGTTTCCTGGCCATGATAACAATTTAGTGCTCTTTGTACGAAACCACTCTTTCGATATTTTGGCCGTGTGGCAAGGAGCAGAATCCTGCTGAAAAATAAACGAAGCATTGTTGGGAAAGAGATCTCTGATGGAAGGTAGAAGTTTTGGTTCTAGAATAGTGTCAGTGTATTTTCTGCCATTCAGTGTCCCATCGATGACATGAAGGCGACCAATACCATCTGCTGACATGCATGACCAAATCATTACACTAACTGGGTTCTTCACATTTGCTTGAATGCAGTCAGGATGTAGCTCTTCTCCTATTCTACGTCTTACATATTTTCGCCCATCACTACCGAATAAGGATATCTTAGTTTCATGACTCCATATAACTTGTGACCACTGATCATCTGTCCAATTAAAGTGTTCCTTTGCCCACTGTAGTCTTTTTTTTTTTTTTTTTTTTCATTGCTGAAAATTAAGATAAGGCTTTTTTTCGTGGAATTCTACCTCTCAGTCCAACATCTGTTAATCTTCTCCTGATTGTTTTTGAACTGACAGAAACACCAGCATCATTCAGATCACATCTGATGGCCGCTGATGACATTTTTCTATCTTGGAGACATAGTCTTTTTATTCTTCTGCCATCAATAGATGTGGTGCACCTTTTTAGGCCTTTTCCTTCTTTGTTTTTTATTGTATTTGTCTCCTGATATCATAAACAAAACTTCGAACTCCAGATGTAGTGACTGAACCACACACCTGTCTTGCAATTTGAGCATAGGAAAGACCACTTTCTCGTAACACAATAATATTACATCTCTTTCTAGGTGTCCAATCTACTTTTTATTTGATGTCATTGCTTCTTGACAAAATATTAAAAATTTTTACAAAAAATTCCTACTTGTAATTTCAGTGTATAAGAAACAGGTCCTCCTTCTACAGAACAAAGCAAAATAATGAATGTTTCAAGTGTAAACATGATGTCAGCTTCTACTGGCAGTTACTAACATTTGATTGGTTCTGAGAACAAGAACAGTGATTGGCCAGGAAAGCTAGACATTACAAACCACATCATAACTGTGTTTTTTATTTATATTAAAGTACATATAACTTTTTTTTGTATTGCAAATAATTGAATTTTGTGTTTTGTATTGAATTCAGTAATAAATTCTCTTTAAAATGATACATACTAGTTTGCATTTTGCGAAACGTAACATTTCTTATAAGCATACAAGTTCAAAAACATAAAAATTTCCAAAAGTGTCCACAATTTTGGCCACCACTGTATAGGAAATCTATGATGATGTAGATGATGGATGAAAAAGGAGATGATAATGAGGATAGGTGATGAAGAAGTGTTTGCAAGGGCGATGGTAAGATAAGATATGAAGTCCTACGCAGGAAATGACAGATGATAAATATGTTGATAAGTAATGATGATAGAAGACTGACGAAGATGAATGATAATAGATGATGATAGAAGACAAAGATGGATCATGATAGTTTCTTGACATTATTGAAGCTATGTACTGTATATTATTAGAAAGCTATATTATTAGTAAGCTATGCACTGTATATTGATCAAGACTATGAAGAAGAAGGACTGAGAAGATGAACAAGGGTAGATGAATGATGATAGATGATAATGTTTGACAGGATCGTCGCAATTAGTCGAAATATAGTTGATAAGATTTTGAAGTTTATTTCGAAGAAATTTATTTTTAAGGAGTTGTTGAAACCCAAGCGGAGCTGATGTATATTTTTAAAATGGACATCTTTAGTTATTTCACAATCAAACATATAATGGTCGATTGATCCCATATTTCCGCAGATGCATTGATCTGTATGATGAAGGGCAAATCTATGGAGATAGTCAATAAAAAACCTATGGGCTGTGAGGAAGACAGTTACTGATCTATTTTTAGATAGTAAGTTTCTGGAAACTTAAAAGAAAGTTCTGCGACCGGTAATTTCTTCATTCCAGCAATGTTGTCAGATGGAAAAAAGATCTTCAAGTGTTCTCTTTAGAAGTGAAAGTGGTTTGGGAATCATGATAGATGGTAATGAAGAATCTGATGCTGCTGTTTTTGCCAAATTATCAGCTATTTCATTTCCACTGGTACCAGTATGTGCTTTAGTCCATTGGAGGTGAGGACGTAGATGAATAGGGAAGGAGGCAAGAAGAATAAGAATTTGTGTAACTATTGGAGAGCGGCTATGACCAACTATTGCTTTACTACTGGATTTACTATCTGAGAATATTATGCTGCGTATTGGATGGCCTGTTGAAAATGCTATTGCTTCTTTTATTGCAAGGAGTTCAGCTTGAAAGATTGAATTTGTGGAAGTGAATCGAATGCACTGTTGTTTAATTATAACATTATTTTGAAATGCACAAAAGGTGCAACCAATCTCTGTGTCTAATTTAGAGCCGTCAGTGTAGATTTTAAGGTTAAAATTACCTGAATTTGATGTTGCTATTAAGGAATTCAAAGTAAAGGATGAGGGATGAATGCTGAAGTCATGCAATAATTCTTCATATTCTGATGATTGATAAAGATTATTATTGAAAGTATATGGAGTGCGTAATCTTGACACTTTAATTTTAAATGCTTCTTTCTTTAAGGTTATTGTAATTGGAGGAATTCTGGTGATTATATGGAGAGCACTATTTGGAGTGGTTCTGTAAGCTTTCAAAATAGAAAGAAGAAAAGGTCTTTGATTGAAAGAAGTTGTTTTTGTGCATTAGAATTTAAATTTAGGCCCCACACTGAGGCTCCATATAGTATTATTTTTTCTGTTACAGTAGAGTGTCATATTTTTTGCATATATGGAGAAATTCCCCAACTACTGGAAGATGTTTCCGTTATGCATTTAAAAGTGTTAATATTTTGTTCTTGAGATACTGAATGTATTGATGCCAGGACTGCCGTTGATCAATCACTATTCCTAGGTAGGTGAGAGTATTGTCTGTCATAATTTTTTCTTGTGATATTTTAACGATCGGTTTTCTTAGTTTTTTTTTTAAATGATTTTATAGATATTGGGATGTATAAAGCTTTACACTTTGATATAGAAATTTTGAGTTGGTATTTATTTGCCCAATCATTGAAGATTTTCAGTGATTCATTTGAATGTTCTTCAATTAATTTTCGACTATTGGCATGAATTACTAATAAAAAGTCATCAGCATAAGCTTGAGCATAGGTATGTGGGATATTGTCAAATATTTTAAGAATGGAATTAGCTAAGAGGTTCCAAAAGGTAGGGCCCAAGCATGAGCCCTGTGGACAGCCTTTAGTAATTTTATAGTATTGTATATCAGAATTTG